TGAATTACCATCAACTGCCATATCAAATACATCATTGATTTTATAACCAGTTTGAATTACTTTATGTAATGAAACATGAGATAATACATTTGGTTCATAAACTAAAATTACAGTTTCTTAAAGTGCAGTATCAATAGCTCTTACAAATAGCCATCCTGATTATGAACAATAATCAATATTTAATGGTTCTTATAATTAATATTTATAAAGTGGCAATCTTTTATTTAATGCAATTAATTGTAAATGTTCCCAATTATATTCTTCTATAATTTATTCACTAGCTGTTTTTTGAACAATAGTAAATGTAAGAGGACCAATAGCAATACTTACTTGAGATTTTTATATTATAGGTATAATGTGCATCAAATGAAAAACATGAATATTGTTTCCATTTGCAAATTCTCCAATTAATATTTCTTCTTATGTTTAAATGAATACTATCTATCCTCTAATTTTTGGATTACCAAATACAGCCTTAGGAATGAATGTACCATTATATCCTTATTATCTTAGTACATTCTAATTAATTACATATAATTCTTTTATATCTCCTCTTACACTCCAAACACTTATTTAATATTTAGCTGATTAAACTAAAAAGACTGCATTTTAAAGATATACAAATGAATTAATCTTATTAGTTAAATCTTTAGAATCAAACTCTATCTTACCAGTTTCTTAACTTGAACCAGAACTTGTGAAAACTTTAACTAAGAAATCACTTTCCTAATAAACATAAGTGACCATATTATAAGTTTACCACCAAGTAAAAGAATTCTTAGTTTTATTTAATATAAATGGAACATGAAACTAATCTATTTAAGTACATTTTTATAGAGTAGTATTCTTTAAATCTTGATTACTACATCTAATCATAGTACAATTTTGATCTGGTGTTTAAAAAAGGAAATATACTCTATCACCTTGATCTAAGACTAATAAATCTGCATAGACAACATCTTTAGCATCTGGTAAATCAACACCTTTTACAAATACTTCCCACATAGAATCTAATGTCACATCCACATTTGAATTATTTACTAATTGTTTATACATTAAACTAGGTCCAGATGCTAATAGATCTACAACTATTGATTTTGAAGGATAAACAATTTAATCTGGAAAAGGATCATTTGATGTTCTATATATATTAGTATCATTTTATTATAAGATTGTACATTTTATTAATATTGAACACATTTTACCACCATTTTATGGCCATGAATTAAGATTAAATTAAATTTATGTTGCAGTAGGTTCTTTTTATGAAAACATTTACAAATATCCTTTACTCAATCCATATCTATATGCTCTTTATTAATTAATTCCAATCATATCAGGATAATATGGATTAACAAGAACTTATTCAAAATATTCTTCATTCTTAAAAAGTAACATAGTTTCTTGTATATGATATAAATAAGTTCCTTATTTTTAGACAATTACTAAAAATTCTTAACTCATTGATAATTTCAATTCTCCATATACAGCTTAATGAGGTAATTAGAATGTAAATTTTTGACTAAAATTTTCAAATACAACAACTTTATTTTTATATGCTAATACTAAATGTTAAGTATAAGTTCCATCTGGATTACCTAAATAATTGAAATCAAATGCATAAATTTATTCTTTTGATGGATTTTCAAAATGTTACAATAATTTAAATTAATTAGTATTTGTTAATTCTAATACATATACACCATTAAATGCATCTAAAACATATAATTCTCCATTAGGTTCAACTTGAAAATCAATTAAAGAGAAATTTTCTACTGGTTCAGGTAATAAAGTTTTCAATATTGTAACATTCAACATAGCCACATATTTTTAATCAGCCTCAGATTTTATATCAATCAAAAAAACTTCAAGTTCACAATCTTTATCTAATTTATCTTATGTATTATTCTCTGTTGCCCATGCAGGTTCACCTCTAAATAAATATGATTGAGCAGGTGCTGCAAATCCATCTGAACTCTTAGCTGTATAATTAAGAGTAGCAATCCTTCTTGCTTTTGTTTTATTATAATTATGAGGATTATCATTATTTTATATATGTTTCTCTCCAGTCTTAACATCTATAAAAATGAATCCATTAGCTATCCCAGCCAATGCTGTAGTACAATCTACAATAATAGTTGTCTCTGTGACAAAATCAGCATCAAAACAAACTAAAGCATCACTTTTATGTACTGTGATGAAATCAGAGAAATATGGTGTTTAACGAGTATTCATTGGATCACTAAAAATTATATGATATCAATATTTACTTGATTGAATAATGAATATCTACATCTGTTTCATTTTACTCTAAAAATATGAAATCATTCATCCAAGCTCTTGTTTCTTAGTTAACTCTAGGCTTTAAAGTAAGGATGACACCAATATCTGAAAAGATATATATTATCAAATATACCTTCATCTCCATGGTTAGTACCAAATCCCATCTATTAAATAGGCTCATATGTATCCATATATGGACGACCTGGTAAAGAAACATTGAATTTCAAATCACTTCCTCTAAAAAAATTCTTTCTCAAATCCCAAGATAAAGACTCATTCACTGTTCCTATTATTGTAAACTCTTGTATCAAAGATTCTTAGCATAAAATTGATCATTACCACATTCAGATGCCTACCCAAGAAGAGCAAAAAAAGCAGACAAAATCGTGACGCAAATAAATTATGTCATCGAATTATAATTATATATTTAAGAACAAATCATTAAATGGCCTTATATGATCGTCTTCTCTTACGATGTTTATTTATACACATATGGATTGCCACACAGATGATTATTCCAATCAACAGTACTCCAACCACAATTATCAAAAGTATAAAAAATAATTTCATATCTTAATCAGCTATTGGACATGAAGTCATTGTTATATTTATTCCCAATTATACTTATTTATATGGATTTACTGCTATTAAATTTACTGAATAATTCTTTAAATCTTTAGTATTCTTAACTACAATCTTAGCCACTTAATCTATTGTATACAATAATAAACTCTTATCATCATAACTATTTATCAATAATTAATATTTCCCTATATGATTCTTCTTTACTATAAAATTTTGTGATAATATCATATCTTATCCAATTTATTTCATACCTGCCTTACATATTCCTGCATTATTTCTTACATCTTCATTCTCTTCAATATCATAAAGACAATAATAATTCTTATTTTCATATCTATAAATTTATAATAGATAATCATCTATAACACCTATTGATCGTAATTTTATTATATTCCCTAGTTTCTAAAACACTTATATTATTTAAATCTTAAAATTCCCTCTTTCATATTTCAACTATATTTAATAACTTTCATTTATCTAATCCACTAAAATCATGTTGCAATTATTATTCCCCTATTTAAAGATTTCTATCTTTATTAATCTATTTTCTAATGGATTCACCAACCTCTATTGACTGAATGGCAATTCCAAATATTCATATTATAAAATACTCACCTAATCCTTTGTCAAATTCATTTTTATTACTATAATACCAATTTGAAATTCAGATAATATCAAACAACCTTAATTTTAAGATAGTTTCATAACATCAAAAGATGTTACATTAAAACTTTAATGAAAATAATCTTTATTGATTATTAAATTAAATTATTGAATAACAAAAACTTTGTCATCCAATTCCAATGAATAAAAATAAATAGTAGGATATTCTGTTTAACTTTCAGTAAGTATAATTTGCACATGATTAAAATAATGCATTTCTGTTATTACTTTTCTATCCTAAAATTCCATTTTACCCATTACTTTACAATCCTAATTTTCTTATTACTCCCAACAATAATAATACCATAATTCAGGTTTTTTGCCTGATGGATTTTCATATAAAATTACCAAAATTTATTTAGTTAATATATATAACTTAGTTGCTACATAATTATTTTATTCACTTTATAATTCAATTTCATTTGTGATGTCTCCAAAATTATTGACAAATTATAAATATTATTTTGTACCTGTTAATTCTGATAAAATTAAAACAAAATTTTAATCAAATTTAATAAATTCCTATATTGATTTTGATTATATTTATCTATTAGACTATTAAAATTGATTCAATAAATAAATTTAACCACTATCATTATCAGTTGTACACAAAATACAAGATAATTTATATTAAATTCTTTATCCTTATATCCAATCATTATTTATTTATATTGTCTAAACTTTCTCACATTCCCCAAATTCTAAATTAATATTATCCTTTTTCCATTACATTTCCAATTACATATCAATTATTATAATCTCCTTATTATATTCCCTCTTTTAATTATAATAGTCATTCCATTCTTATTACTATAACATCAAATTTGATTAAAAGTGAGTAGAATCAGTCAATTAATTTATATAAATTCTTGGCTACTCAAAATACAAATAACTATACACTTTTCCTTTATATATGAACTATATCACTGAATTATCAATCCCAGCAACACAATAATTCAATTCACTTTCAAAATAATCAAATGTGTCTATAACAGTCAATAGTGAATTCCTCTAATATTCATTTATTTAGTAAATTAAAATAACAGTTGTCTATGTATATACTGAATATGCAGTAACCAATATCAAATTCTTAAGAGGATTAGAAGCCAATTAAAGTTTTTAAGGCAATTAATAGTAATATATAGGAAGTCTTCTTAAAAGTGTTACTGAGTTCAAATTATGAATTAAATATTGCAAAATACCTTATTCAGTAACTGTCTTGTATACAATTACTAAAGTGGATCTGAAGATAGATAGAAGTAATTAAACATTTTATTAATCAGTAACTTAGATTTAAGATATGATATTAAATTCATTAACATAATGTCCAATTATGATTATATTATTACATTTGATAAATAATAGATTCTTATTGAAGGTATTACTAATATAAACTTTTTAAGCATTATCTAAATTTTATATAGTATCAATTTATTATTTTAGAGATATAGAATAGATTTGTATCTCATTCATTCCATTAATGAGCACAAATACAAAATATTCATTTATAGCAAAATCAGTGATTTAGGTTCTCTCATCTTATAATGAAGTTTTTATTTGAAATATTTGAACAATCTTAGAATCACCAACTCTATAAATTGTGATTACATGATTATTTTGAGTCTTAATACCAATATATGAATCATACATCCCTACTTCTGTCCATGCTATGTTATCATCCATCAATTTTATTAATGGATAAAATGTACTTTTTTATTAACATTTCTATTCTAATTCATTTAATTAGCATACATAGATGAAGGTACTCAAATTTTCTGTTTAAACTAAATATTAATTAAGACCCAAATTATTATTTATGATACTGAATAATACATTGTTCTAATCAAATTAACTTATTCCTGTTATAATCAAAGGGGATAATGAGAGAAATTTAATATCTATCTTTTACATTTAATCATTTCTTATAATTATCTATTATTAAACATTTGGTCCATTGGTTATTCTAGGCCATGTGTAATATTTTTATGGATATGGAGGATAATAAACTATTCTTTCATTATAAAAGTTATTGTTAAAATTTGTATGTATTTAAGCATCTGACTTTTCATAGACGTATAATACTATATCAACATAACAATTGGTATTTTTAATGTCAATTAATTTGAAATATTTCTAATTTTCTGATTTTTATATTTATTTTTGAAACGTCAATATACCTGAACTGATTTCATAAAATTCTGCTTTATTTGAATAAAAAAATACATAGAGATTAAAGTTTGGATTTGCAATGAAAACTTCTTATTGTATTTGAATTCTATCTACTAATTGCAAATCATCAAATATCATAAGCTCTTTATTAGATTTGATCAAATAATAAGAAGGAGTTATTTGAACTCCACAATGACCTAAAGAAAAGTCTTCTTTTTCAAATGTTCTTACAACAGTATCATATCTTCCATTTTTTATAACCCTCATACTTATCTAATTTTTCTATAAAAATCCTAATACAATAATCTCCTCATTATTTCTGATTGAAAAACCATAAAATTCTGTTATGTATGAGGATGAAGTTATTAAGTTAGCATTTGTGAAATTGCCCTTATTATCCATTATTAATTAAATTGGCCCCAATCTATAATCCAAAACAAATAATTTTTTTGAATAGACTTAAACATCAATCACAGAAAAATATTTAAGTTCATTCTAAAATAATTCTGACAGTTTTTTTTTATCTAAATAGTAAGGTGTTTCTATTATTTAGTATGAATCAATAGCAAACACATTAATTATTGATTATATACTTACAACTTCTTCTTCATATGCTGGAATATAAATTAACAGATATGAAATTCTATTTTTATAAATAGTCAAATTAATTCTACTTTTTTATTACATAAATTTGGAATAGGCATGTAGAATTGTTCCATTCTTATTTATAATCTCTATAATTAATTTTTGATTATTTTAACAAACAACAACAAAATTATTTTAATCCAAATAATCAAAATCTGTACAAGCTTATTAAAGTGACAATTATCTAAACATTTCATCTTATATTATATATATATGAAATCCTTATGAATCTTGACCCAATAAACTATACTCATTCATCCAAAACTCTCCTTTTCTATATGATCTAGCCTTAATTATTTTTTAAATCTCTACAAGTATGCTTTAATTTCATACAATAAGGAAAATGTTTCATATCATAAATATCGTTTGGCTATTACAATTTAAAGTAAGTCCCATTCTAATCACCATCTAATCTGAACTTTGTCATTTCTCCTTCAATTAATTCATCCTTTATTTCCCAATACATATTTTCATATGTAGATATACTTATTTCCAAATCATTTTTCAAAATATCTAATAAATATCTAAAATAATTACTGCATGCATCTATGTGTCTAAGGAATATTGAAATTAATAATAACATTATTAATTATTAATTTTTAAATATAAAAATAATTGTACAATTCTTTTCATCATTTTTGTTCATTATAGCTTAATAAATGTTTAAAACTAATTGTATGATTATAAGTTTCTACTCTATTAAGCAAGTGTTATGATATTATTATTAGTAATATTATAGATAAAATTTTCAAAATAATTAAGTCAGATTAAAGTAGAATATGAAATAATTTATAGTTGGTATTCAAATAGTGTTTAAAATGTATTCTCATGTAAGAAATTGATATCACTATAAAAACTATGATCAATTAATAGAAGAGATGATTTAATAAAATTATAGATAAAAAGATAGTATTTGAAAGATGAGTGTAGATTTTTAGAAAAACAATTTAAAGGTAATTATGAGTAAATAAAATATAGTTTAAAAATCAGTATTAATAATGAGTAATAAAGGGACATTTTACAAATCATATTTAGTAATAAAAAATAGATTATTATGATATCATTTTATAATATATACTTTGTTATTAATAAATCAAATATACTTTCGCTTAAAGACATCAACTAAATCTTCTAATAATGCTTTTTTCATCTAAATTTATTCATATTTATGTTGTCCTAACAGTACATAACCATTATTGCATGTGTATAAATTTATGATGGAAATTGAAATATATTATTCAATTAGCTTGCTGAGGACATAAAATTAATAAGTTGGATTCAAATAGTATGTTCTTAATAGGTTCCTATTAATAGAACAATTATAGAATGTTGGTATAGAGTCCTGACTAGAAATAATGAATAACATAAGATTTCGATAAAGTTTAAGAATTTACACACATAAGAATATCCATAATTAGTTTAAGTAATTAAATCAACTTTGACAAAATTTACTCCTTAAATTGAATCTTTTGGTAAGAGATTTGATCCTACAATAGGTAATAAAAATAATTCTTTTTACTTATAAAGAGTAATCTAATATTTCATTTTGATGATATGAATTAAATTAAAGAATAATTACAATAAATAGGCATCAGATTGTCATTTTAATTAACTTGTTAATGAAACAAACTGAATTGATGAACGCAAAGAGATTCAATTATGAATATTCTTTTCATGTAATAATTAAAAAAATGCTCAAAGGTGTATCTATGATAAATAAATTTTATTTAGTTTCTACATTAAGAATTTTAAGTAAATTTTTAATACCAATTTTGAAATGTGAGATCTTGAATAGCTAGATTAATTTTCAAAGTTATCCTTTACAAAATTTTGTTGTTAATAATATTAAATTTATTGTAGACTGGTACATTATCTATAGATATTAAGTGATGCTTTATAGTTTCAGGATTATAATTAAAAAAACTAAATTGTGAATAATAACAACGTAAAAGACATTAAATAGTCCATCTATTCATTAGATAGTATCGAATTAATGACATTCAAAAAGTTTAGGGGTTATACATTTAAAACATAATATACATTATTATAATTTAGTTAGTAAGTAACAAAAATGTATTCTCTTTCTTTGGTAGCAGCAATGTGATCCCATGTTGGGGATTGAGTAACTCATTTTTTTTCAAAATCAGCATTCAAAACTCTGACGATTTACCTAAGATTTATTCGAGTATTGAAAATGTTGACAGCTTGATAAAAGTGATTAGAGTGATATTGTAAACATCACGCTTTATGAAATTCTTCTAAATTAATATAATTTAAATATTGATAAATTCTTATATTTCCATTCTTGTCAATATGAAACAATTGATTTGTGAATGGTAATTTCTGACTATCAATACAATCATAAATGAATTGATAATTAATCAGACTATACATTAAATTGACTCATTTAAAGAAGGTATCTTTCAAATGCCATTCAATAATTTCACAATTTGAATGAACTCAGTCTTATATCAAATGATTGAGTATTATTAGGCTACAGCAATAATGATAAAAATAAAGATATTTAAAGTTTAAAGTTGAAAATAATAAAATTAATAAAGTTAAATGAGTATGAGAATATATAATCTTATATTTCTGATGTCATATTATATGTAGAAAAATTAAACATATTCTTCATTAATTAATAATTTATGATATCAGCACATATGTACCTATTGGCATTAATGCCAATTATGGTTATATCTACTTGCAGTATTAATTTAATTGTATTTTAGGGACGATTTAAGAATAAGATCATGTCTATCCAACTGTAAAGGAATATTATAAATGGGAAATCAAAAACTTTATTGAAGGTGATAATTTGATTTATTCATTGGATTCACCTACATCATTATTTCAACTTGAATAACCTTTACATATAATAAGTGAAGCTAACCATTATGCTCGTATTTAGAATATTCATACTTTTTAGATTAGATTGATATTGTAGCTACAAGAGCCTTCGATATTCCTGAAACTGGTGCTTGGGCTAATGATTTTGCATTTATGGGACAAGATTATGATGACTATTCTTGGTGGATATACTATTCAGAAGGGTAATGAAAAATAAATCATTATAGAAAATAAATCTAGATGAATATAGCTCCTTCATTTACAAAGTCAATTAATTTCTTAAGTGACAATCGGCTTATGAAATGTTTGGATCTTGAATATATAGACAGAGATACATTTTTAGTTGATTGCATTGAACCAGGTGATGATACAAAGCCAGGAAAGAATTATGTTTATATAATAAAAAAGGGAGAACCTCCTATTATTACAGTGAAGACATTTGATTCTATAAAATATAAAATTGTTAGTGATAGAAAGGTATAATATCATGTTTACAATGCTTAAAATATTGGTGATGGTTTTTCTGATGAGGAACCTCTTAGAATCTTATTGAGAGGTCAATATGCTTATGGAACTCCAGGAAGCAGTATAACAAATCTTGATGGTGATTGTATAATTGATTTATTAAAAAATAATGTTTAGAATGAAATTGTAGAAACTGATAAACATTTGGATAAAAAATAATTGATACAAGATTTAGGTATTAAACCAGAAGATTAAGAAAATTTTAAATTTACATTGATAGATTTTAAAATAATGCCTAATGGTGATATCTATATATTGGATGCATATAATGGTGTATATATATATTTTGTAAATTCAAAATTTGAATTCAAATTTAAGAGAAAAATTGATGTAGGAACAGATTTAGCTTATGCATTTGATGTTAATAATAAGATAGATTAAGAAGGAATAAATCATGTTCATATTGCAGTAGTTCATTAGAAATCAGTAATTGAATATATTGATGGAATATAAAAAGGAGGTTGGTTGGATGCATTCGAAGCTAAACATCCTTCATTTATTTTTGCAAGTCAATAATTTTTAATTGTAAATCCAGGAGGAAATACTTTTTACATTTATAATTCAGATCATCAATACTTAATTCATACAGAAACTTTACTAACTAGAATATATTTGACAAATCCCTATGAACCAGATTTGATTGCTATTACAAACTCATTTGCATATAGATATGAAGTTGGTTATGCAAGATTAGCAGTTCATTCATATGATGCTACACTTGGAGATAATGAAGTGAAATTTTCAGCTATTGGATAAGATAAAAGAAAATGTGAAGCATCATTAAAATATTAAATAATTAAAGAAGGTGATACAAATATTTATCCTGTTGATCATGATCCATTCCCAAAAGTAATGTAACATCCTTCTGATCCTATTTTTGTTTAAGAATTAGCAGCAGGACCAAATTTGATATATACAAATGGAGATGATTCATAAAAAGATCATGTTAATGTTGACATTCATACAGTTTGGGAACTAAATGTGACTGGATTGACTTTTCCAACTGTAACTGATGTGGCATATGCAGATATACTCATAGATCCACATTGGTCTGGAGCACATAAATTTTGGTTCCTTTATTAATTAGAATCAAATAAATAAGTTGAAATTTTTGAATGTACAACCAAAACATAATTATCAAGAGATGTTCATTGTGAAGAACATGCTAAATTCAAAATTCCAAATGTATTAAATCCAAGTACATCTTAATTTGATTGGGATGCAGAAGAAGGAGATGTATTAACATTTTAATTTATTGAACATGATTATTAAATATCTGTCTATGAAAGTACTCATGATTAATCATCTCCATTATTTGCTATAAAATATGATGAATTACCTGAAAATAAGATTACATCATTTACTGTTTTGAGAAAAGCAATCTATATTGTATTACCTAATAAAAAAGAAGTTGATGCTTGGTTTGGATTCTTTCCAACTCCAACAAAACATATAATTTCTAGTTAAACAATGAAAGAATAAGGAAGTGATAGAATATTTGAACCAAAAAAAGTATTTGGTAATCCTGCTCTCAAAAGTGAATTTGTATTAATATAATCAAAAGATTGTATTTTCTTTGGAGACATGAGAAATACTTTTACTTTAATTTATATATTTGATATTATACCTGGTGCTGATGTTAGAGTATATTTAGGAATGAAAACAATATTTATTGTTCAAAAAAGTGAAACATTAGGATTCAAGATCTAAGAATATAATTATGAGAAATTGAGTAATATCTATTTGATGAAGGAATTACCATTATATGATTATGTTATTCAAACACCATTAACAACAGATTATTGTTATTAAACTGGATTCTTATTTGTACGTGCTTTAGATCCATCTACATAAGAAACTGTAATATTAGTTTATGAATCAGATGTTTTATATTAATTATCATTACACAAAGTAGTTAAAACACATTTAAAAATTAATGATGGTTAAGTTATGAATATGGCTGCAGCTGGACATGATTAAATGTACATGTATGTCAATAATCAATAAAACATATAAAAAATGATTGGATTTTTAAGAGATGCTATTGCTATATTATAACCATCACATCTATCTAATCAATATGTTACTTAATTAATGGCAACTGTTAATATTACTAATTAAGTAGTTACTAAACCTATGTAAATTTCATATCCTATTAAATATATAAATACTTAAACTTATATTAATATTGATTAAAATGAATTGTCTAAATAAAATGGATAATTTGTATTCACCAATCAAACTGCTGATTAATATTTAGAAATAAAAACAACTGGATGGTAATCTGGATAAGTAATTAAATATGATGCTGATTGTAATTCATGTGAATCACATTTAATCTAAATGATTAATACAATTTATCATATTACAGATGGATCATAATATTAATAACATTTTATTGATGGAGTTGCTGCAGGTACAGAAATGATCTTCTAAACAAGTGATTCAATAATTTTATAAGATGCTACTGGTAAATGGGTAGGAACACATAAATTACCTGTAGGAATTGGAGCTGATTGTAGATCTATAACAGCAACTGAAGATGGAAAAGTCGTATTTAGTGGATGTGAAGAAAGAGGTACTGTTAATATTTATTTAACATTTTGTGATGGTAAGAATTGTACTGCTGCTACACCAACAATGTAATAGATTGCTTATGATGCAAAATATCCATCAAAATTATTATATAAAGATGGAATACTATTTGTTTTGGATAATAACAATAATGATCCTTAATAATATGATGGAACTGTTAGAGTTCATAAAGTCAATATAAATTAAGAAGAAAAAACTTGGAGTCTTGAACAACCTGGTAAAATTATCGATTCTAGATTTTTGAGTACTGAACCTACTATACCATTTTAACCAGCTGATTTTGATGTTATCAAATATGAAGTTGGCAATGTGAATTATTATAAGATATTGTTATCCAGTGCTCTATATAGAGTTTGGTTTGTTGATCTTTATTTTGATAATGGTACCATTAAATTTGGATAACATGATAAATTTGATCTATTTGCTCTTATAGACAAAAACTTTGCAATAAAAAGTCATACTCGTTTCTATTAAATTAGAGCAATTAAATCAACCAAAAAAGATAAGTAACTCTTAACAACTGCTTTAATATCTACAAATATTATGGCTACTTATGCTGTCACATTTACATATGATATTTCAGATCCATTTAAAGGAGCACCTGTATAATCTGATGCCACTGTTCCATTTTTGCTTGCCAATTATGGAACTTGGAAATAACTTAATAAACTTACACTTTTTGAAGATCATGTTGCCATTGCTTATACTAATCAAGAAAGTATTTTAGCTGCTGTTTATTTATTACCAACCATTGATCATAATGCTATTTAAGATACTTAAACCAAAGTTGTTACACTTATAGGAGGTGAAGAAGATTAATAAATGACACAAATCTCTACTTAATTTGTTATGACTCTCTCTAAAGATGCTGCATAATCAAGAGTAAGATTATTAACTTAAGTTTTATTAGCCTGTACTCCATACTAATCTTGTTTTTAATATAGCATAAAAAGAAAATATGTTAATTAAATATGGAATCACTGATTATCCAAGATTATTCATTTAAAAGGGAGATCAAATCAAAGAATAGAGTGTGTACATCACTGCCAGAAATGATTATGGAACTGCCTAAGCTGTCATTCATTTAACAAAGAAAAATCCACCTGGTCCAAATCCTCCAGGACCAGATCCAGATGATGATGATTCGTAATTATAATATATATATTTCTTTTAGCAAATCAAGTAGTAATTGGTGGTGGATTACCTTAATTGTTATTTTCGGAGTTGCTGTAATGGGTGTTGCTGGTTATTTTGTATATGCCAAATACTTTAAAACTACAAACAGGCCATTACATGTTTAATCCTATTGATTTATCATAATAATAATTTAAAGTTTAAATTCTAATATAGTGTTTTAGATTTTAGTATTTAGAGAATTTTCATCATGAATATATACTCAAATAATTAAAACCAGAAGAATTTTAATATGTCTTAAGGTATTTTATTAATCTTATTTAGAGTATTCCATAATAATCTTACTAGAAATTCTTGTAATATTATATATGTCTCTTTATTAATTAGTTATTCTGAATGAAATATTACTCGAATTAATAATTAAAATATTAATAAAACATTAAATTACGTTAGGTTAATTAGTATATTAATTTAATATATGAGTAGATTATATATGATAAAAAAAAATAAAGCTAGAATAATTTTTTCAATCATCTATCGTTTTGTACTTAACTCAACTTTCTAAAACAAAGTTAAGTGTCTTTTTATTAAATTATTAAATTATATCTAATTATGATAAAAAATGGAAATAATTCAGATCATTTTAGAATTTTTCAGTAACAAACATCTTGTTTCAATACTCCAATAATAACTTGATTAATTATTATCAATTATTTCATTCGAATCACTGTACATATCTAATTCATATTATTGTTGTTATTAATGTTATTGTTAGCTATTTTCAGACTGCTCAACAACACTAACACATTCTTCCTTTTGATTTTCATCTAAAGGTTATATTTGATAGTACAAATTAGCTTAATTTAAGTATTTCTACTTAATAAAGGAATAAAACCGATTTTTGATCATATTTTCCTATCAATATAATTACAATCATACCGATCTTCCTGGCATTTTTTCTGATATTTAAGTCCATTAGGATCCATGCTTTAGATATTCTTTGTAAATCATTTCATCTTCTTATTCTGTCATAGGTCCATGATTAAGAGTTGGATCAAGAAAATTTTTGTATCTCCTTCTGACTTATTTGCCTGTTTTGTTTTTCATTTGCTTAGCTATGGCATTCCAACATGGACCAAGCTATCGAATGATACTTAATAATGTTTAATCCTCTTATAAAGTCCATCGTTTGGCCTTATTTTAATGGTCTCCTTGTCTCTATTTAAGCCTTTTCCACCTTTGGCAACATTGGGAAGCATTCCTTTATTCCATTTTCTATGCCACTAGAAGCCATCGATGCCCAAATAGTGACACATTAGCTATTAATTTTTTGTCTTCTTCTGGAGTCCATTTGGATCTTAAGATGATATCAAACTCAATTATTTAACCATTATTTTGATCACCTTACCTTTTACGCTTAACAATTTATTTCCTACATTTGCTTTGATTCTTCATTTGTGATATTTTAAAGAAGATTTAATTTATTTGAGTTCCATCTTTTATTTGATAAATATCCAACAATTTAAAAATAAGTTAAAGAGAACAATATAAGAAATATACGAATAAACAATTCTATAGACTATTGTATTGCTTAAATGTAAGTCTCAATGCAAATTTTATTTTTCTATTCTCAAAAATTATGAATTGGATAAAAAACGATATAAAATTTATTAAACATATAATCATAATAAAATTTTTATGCTCAACACAACTTTAGTATCATAATTTTATTACAATTAATTATGTCTTATAATAAAACCAAATAATATTTCTCAAAGATATACCCATATTATGATAGTGGATTACAACTTACTTTTTAAGCATTTTTGAGTAAGGAAGATTATTTAATAGTGTTAACTACAACGTTTTCTATAAATAAATAAACAATAAAAAGTTTTAATAATTTTCATTAATATACAATTATTTAACTATTTATAATATAAAATTTAATACTGTTATTCTAATTCCAAAAAAAATAATTTTAAAAAGCCTAATATAATTAATAGAGTCTGATTATAACATTATAAATATTTTTCCATCGAGTATTAAACCTCATTTCATTCTTGAATAAACTTATTGATTAGAAATTATTACAGGATTTTTGTTATTGGAAATAATTTTTTAAGGTTACTTCTTAAAATATAAGTTAGAATTAAATCTCTTTATTTTTTTAAATACAAATATTTCCATCTCCTAATTTTAAGTTATTCTCATAAGTAAAATATGGGTAAAATATTTATAATAAATATTTTATCCTTAAAAAATACCAATAATATTTTAATATCACTACAATTTTTTCTTCACAAAATGTTAAAATTAAATTGCATCCTATTTACATCATTTATAGATTAAAAATGGTTATAATTTTCCTATTGTTTTATATAAAGGATGTTTAAATAATTATTTAAATTATTTTTTTCAATCAGACGAATATTTTAAGACATTTTTTATTCATTAAAGTATTTAACTATAAAGTGCAAGTATTTATTGACTATCTTTAAATTCATAAGCTTTCTTTGAGTTCACAACAAATTCTGTAGTAATTAATTGATCAAAATTTTATAAATAATCTCTTATTATATGAAATACAATAATAAATAATTAAATAAAATAAATAATAATAGTTATTATATTATATTAATATTATTTATGAAAACATTAATAACAATGAAATAAAATCATAATTGGATTACTTATAAAATATGTTTTTGGTAATGTAAACTTAATAAGAAAGACAAAATAAAGGTAATTAGGAAAATGAGTTTATCCAATTTTCCAGATGTCCGTTTAACATTTGCTCTTTCTTACAAACTATTATTAAACTTTTAAACATCTTACTATCATATTATAGATAATATTTACTAATTCTTATTCTTTTTTAGTGACTTCTTATTATAATACTTCAAATTTATTGCAAAAGTATTCTGCTTCAATTTTAGCCTTATCAGCAGTAGGAATAGCAATGACACGTGTAGGTTCTACTTATCCAAATTATTTATTAACTGATTAGAACATTTGACTTTAATTTCCTTAACTTTAAGCAACGATCTTTCTATCTTTGGTAAGAATAGCTATATTAATTCTTTATTTTTCAAATCTTCTCATTTTATCTAAGAATATAGGTCCAGCATCTTGAATTCCTTGAGGTGTGATGGTTGTTATCAATTACAATTTTTCATTGAAATCTTTGATTGAATTATTTTCAAGGACTTTGCTATGAAGTGTTATATTGACTAATTAACTTTATCTAGGTTAAACAACTCCCAAAGGTGGTCTGACTAAGAAAATATTGAGATTCGTAGCCTTAAACTAAAGATTACAATTTAATGAAAAGAAATACCTTATAGGCAATTGGATGTTAAGTATCATTATATAAAGTAATTGAAGAATGCATATTGTCTAACTTACTATATTCGAACTCGACTAAAGGGGCACTCAATCTTAGCGTGTCCATTTTATAAATAATTTAATTAAATCATATCACAATAACACAACTAATCAATGGATTTATGAATACAAATATTAATTACTTTTATTAAACAAAAAAGAACCTAAGATAGAATTTAGAAAACTATTCTTGGTTATATATTTAATTTATTAAAGAAATTAAAAGATTATTAAGATTATACATTGAATTGAATAAATTCTAACCATATATCTTTATCGTTGTTTCAAATTGAATGTAATTACATTAATTAAAACCTCCAAATCTAATAATATATTCTAATCCACCTATGGATTTATAACTTGATTCATATCTCTTAAAATGATAATCATATTCGTTCTAAATTTATTATAAATTTATGTTTATTAAAAAGATTATAATTTTCTATGATCAAAATGAAAAATACTGAAATAGATTCTCTACCTATTTATCATCAATGTATAGAATAGATTTCATTATATCAATTATTTGATATTAAATAATCAAATACATTGAAAAACATATTCATTAAAAAATAGGTTTAAAATATTAATCTAATATGCTTTATTTTGTTATGATTATATAATTATATTATTTTTTTTAATGATAAAATTTCATGTTTTGACTAATAAACTAGGTATTTGATCTATGTTAGCATAGGAATAAATGTGTTATACATAAGGTCCCTTAACGAAAATATCAGAATCAGTCAAATCCTCTGTTTACCATTTGATAAGAGGATGATCTATAATAGGGATTGAATAATGGTAGGTTTAAAATAATTTTGATTCTTTGGTAGAAATGGATATAGTATAAGTCTTATTAGGTAACAATTTAATTGGATTTCTGAATTCAATAAAATATAAATGTCCATCTACCACTTGTAATTTATCATGTTCTAAAACTTTGTGTTATTTGAAAATATATTTAGTTAAATTTGTGTCTTCATGTAATTTGTATATCAATTTTGGAGTTTTAACTTATGAATCATAATTAGTTGAATTATAACTTCCTTTATATAACATTGGTTAGAAGATTCCTATTAAATATAATTACTTTTCTCTAACTTGAAATACATTTGCTCTTATGGTAGTTTTATCAAATATACTTGGTTTACTTTATCCATCATCAGCTATTTATGTTATTAATAATATAATTACATATCCAAACTTTTCTTAGTCTTTCCACTTTTTCAGTTTTTGTATAAAATGTACTATTAACACAATCTAATTGATCTAAGACTTACTTTTAAATATTTGGTATTTTATCTTATAAATAAGAAGTGAGTTATATTAATTATTATTTACTTTCTTTTTCTTTTAAATTAATTTGATTATTTTAAATGTTTTATTGTTGATTGATCAAAAATAATCTTAATTCTTTTATATCTTATTCATTAAATTAGTTTAAACTCTATAGAAATTTATATCCTTAATCATTGATTTTTTAGTCATTCACTAATTTCAATACGATTAATCTTATTTCATCTTCTAATTGATTTAATCTATCTTCAATAGCATGTTTAAAACTTCTAAATATATTATAAGCTTCCAATCCTTATTTATCTTATATGATCTCATTAACATTTGAATGACGTTTAAGTAACTTATCTATTTATTTCATATATATAATTTGAGTGGAATGTGTTAGATGTAACTTAATACAATTTTGACAAAAGTATTATTCTTCTTTACACTCTTGATTCAGACATAGATTAGAAATTGGTGCTTCTGGATGTTTTGTACATTTAATTTTCTGAAATTATTCAATAAAATTCATTAATTTTAATTATTGAAGAATTATTCAAGTGTGCATAAATCTGATTCTTGCATATCAATTTATGAACTTTCCATTATTCTCCAATTTGCAATGCTGAAATACTTCCCTGAATATAAATTCTTATTTATCAACTATAATTCCTTAAACCATTATTCTTTCCTTAAATTATACCTCCATCCTCTCATATATCTAAATAAATAATTTATTATTACAGATTTTCTACAGCCCATAATTATTATTCTTCATCCATAACATTATAAAAGATATAGAAATTAGTTTCCTCTGAAAATTAACTAAACATCTCTTTCTTTCTATTCACACTATTCTAACGAGGCATTAACTTTTATTTAATCCAATCATGAGGCTTTGAAAGTGGATCTGGTTAAGTGGCATTGTCATCAATAAAAGGTGAAATAATCTTTGTAGGTTGTCCAGGTAATCTAATATAATTTAATTATACTTATTATCTTAAACAGACATTCCTAATTCATCTAAATTCATCCCATTCCACAATTTAAAAATTGCTTTATCTTTATCTTTTTCCTTTTCTGATACATATTTTTAAAGAGCTGCAAAACTATACTTTTATTTAAATTCTTCCTCCATTTATTTAATTATTTATATATATTAATACCAAGAATATTATTTATTTTAATATCTTTAGAAGATAATAATAATAAATATTTTTAGAATACAAAACTATTAATCTTATTACAATAATCTTTAACATATATCAAAATAAATTATAACTAATACATTGAAATTAATCTTCATTTAAATAAAATAAATATACTTTTATCATGCTTATTCGTATATCATTTTAACTATTACAGTTGGAGGAATCTTATCTTCAAATATTAATTACTACAAAGTATCTTTAGTAATTATTTATGGTCTATGAATTTAATTTACAATATCCATTAAAATTTAATCACTTAAGACATGATCTTTTCCATCTATTCTTTATGCCAATAATCTTAATAAACCTTATATCTCTGTAAATTAAATTTCATTTCTCTCTGATCCCATAAAAAAATCAAATGTGAATTTTATATATTCTTCAAATGTCCCTTCCTAAAATACAATTAATTTATAAAAATGTTTAAATGAACTGAATGTCATTAAATCACTTTTACAAAATGCCCAAATTACTCTTTCCACTATTTCATCCTCCTTTCTTATTAAATCCCAAAATACTTAACAATAAGTTAAAAATGTATCTTTTCTTATTGAAATATCATCTTAAACTTACTCTACTTCAGAAACATCCAATTAAACTTAATTAGATTTACCAAAATCTATTGGATCACTTGAATTACTCTATCTTGAATTTTTAATTACAAATTGAGGAGATATTTAAGAATTTGGAGTAGTTTAACTATTTGTCTATTTCAATTTCTTCTTATGAAAATCTTATATACTTTAATAATGACTGATAGATGATATAGTACCAAATTATTATAATCTTAATTCAGGCCTTTAAAAACCTGTATAAACTACTAATCTATCATAATTAATTAAGAAATTCCATTCTTTAACCAAATCCAATTCTTTAGTAGTATTATTTTTTATCATCCTTATTAAATTATCTCTATATAAATATTTTGGATTGCCTTTTTATCTTTCAAATACTGTGTTTTTATCATAATCTAAATAGGTTCTTAATCTTTATCCAAATCCTTTTAAATTTTCATTTAACAATACTGTATTTTAAACATTCTATTCCATTTCTTATGATAAAGTCACATCATCATTTCTTGAAGATTTAAATAATCTAGGTTAAGATAAAAATGGTGATTTCCAAGACTCTTATAAAGGATTTCTTTCATTAATAACTTAAACCTTTTTTTCCAATTTCTTTAATTCCTTACTCCTATATTCACTCTGTTAAAGAGGATGAAGACCTTTCAAAGCTTTCTCAAATAACAGAGTAGGTTTTGATGGTAATTGTTTATAATGTTTTAAGAGATCATTTCTTGAAAAATCAGGATTGACTATACTCTATTAAGCATCATCATGCAAAGGAATAACCAAATCAATTAATTGTTTTTGAAAATTCCTTTTTTCAACAATGGTTTCTAATTTTCTTTCATCATTAAATTTTGATCTCTGTGGTGAACTTAATAATTATTTTGATTGAATTGGAATTTTTAATTTTGGTAATATTGGCTTAAAGTTGTTTTTATTTGAATACATAATAATTAAATGAGAAAGAGTACAATCTATTTTGATTATTATTAATATATAATGAAAAAAAAATCTAAAAAAAATTCAGAAATAATTTAACATATATGTTTTTATGATGGACATACTCCATATGGCATATGTATGTACAATCAATGTCAATATAAAGGATTTATCTGTATTTTATGTTGGTTATTGTATCATATGAATCATTTAAATTATACTTTTCCTTAGATTGAAGCTAGAGTGAAATTAATTATAAGATTAATTAAATAGATTGCATTTCAATTTAGTTTGAGTGGAAATGAAGATTACTCTGAATATTTGGATAATTTTACTTAAAAGTTATGGCTATTAGAATTAAATTAGACAGAATATAAATCAAATAAATTGTAGAAAGAAATAACATTAATATAAAATATACGAATATTAAGATAAATAAAAAAATAAGTAACTCTTAGTCAAGAATATCATGAATACTATTTTAATTAAATAAAGTAACTTTTATTTAGTCATTCAAAAATTTCAAGAGATCATATATAGAAAAACAATATTTCAATTAATTTAATGACTAAAATACTTCTTTTTTGTATATTAATAGTTATTCTACTAAAAATTATATTAGTATTCAAACTCAAGGATATGTGATTTCTATAAATTATATTTTATTAGAATTATCTATTTAGATTATCTCTAATAATAGTGATAACTTAAAAGATCATTTAGTTTTCTTTTCTATTGTTATAAAACCAATATAATTTTAAATGATATTATTAATATATAATAATAATAATTTTACAATTATTGAAAGATGATTTATATATACTTTTTTCTTGGATTAATGTATATTGTCCCTGTATTGCAAGGATGTTCACTTTTAGAGGATAATTTGATTAATTTGAATGGAATTGAAAATGAAATAATTTATTAAGATGTTGGAGAATTATTTGCCTTAGAGCAAGAAAATTATCTTGCTTTAGAATCAACAGAAGATTTGAAGAATATTAGAATTATTCATAAAATAGAATTAGAAACTGATATTCCATTGTAATTAGAAAATGATCCTTTAATAATAAAATTTGACATTTCAAACTAAAATAAAGAGAATAATCTTATAATAATGGATGAGGATTAACATTTTATATAATATTCTTTATTGACTAATTAAATAACTAAACTCAAATTATCTGAATACGATTAAACTTTTAATTTATAAGATGTGATCTAATTAATAGATTAAGATAAAAAATATTTAATATTAGATTTTAGTCTTATTGCATAAACTTATATTCTCTTGTTTGAAGAAACCTTTAATGAATATATACAAATTTTTGTGTTTTCATTAGAATTTAATTAAAATAGTGGGAACAATCAAATGGTTGGGTCTGGTAATACTTTTTATAGAATAAACTTTTAATCTATTGAAATATATTAAATTGAAAATAAAGTTATAAAACAGAAAGGAGAAATATATAAATCTACAAATTAAGAAGAATGTGGTCCTTCTTAAGACATTATATAACTTTAATTGCATTAAAATAGTATTAGTTTTATTGATCCTAATACTCTAGTAATAACATAATTAAATGAGGATCATAACAATTAAAAAAATTAAAAATGTATTCAATTTACAGAAAGATTATATACCTATAATTATTATGAACCTCTTGATTAATATGTTGTTATATTTCAATCTAAATTAGTATTTGGTAATTTTTAAAGGAAATTGAATTCGAAAAATTATTACCGTGATATTAAAGTCTATCTTACTTAAAATTATATTTTACTTGTTATAGGTCTAAATGTAGAACTTTATTCAAAAGAATTAATATTTTTGGATTAAATTCAAAATAAAAATGATTTTCTTATTGAAGTATAACCTGAAGCTGATAAATTCGTTTTGATCGACAAAAATTATGCCAAATAGTATCAATTAATTGAATCACAATTTATTAAAATATCATAATAGCATTAAGATATAGATTTTATTATATAATAAATAACAGAACAAAATACTTGTAATATAAATGTACACTTTTCCTTTGTATAAATAAATTATGATGATCTCTTTGTAAAATTAGAGAAAAGAAATTTTGTTCCTTCAACCTAATGGGCTATTAATGATTGTCAATAATAAGGCAATTTAGTATCTATAATAGAATAGAAAAATTAATAAAAAAAGACTAGATTCATTAGAGAATTACCATCATTATCTAAATAATAGTATATATTATTAGAAAATGAGAATAATGAATTTTAATTAATTGTATAATCAAAGCTATTAAATACTTATGAAGAATTTACATTCAAATTAGATATAGAAATTTTGAAAGAAACAGATTATTAATTATGGTGGGTTTTTGAAGATGATGTTTATTTTGCTTTTTATAAAGATGATACATGTAATATATTTAAATTTGATTATGGAATTCTAAATCTAATGTTTCATAAAGAGATTAAAGTGAATAACAAAATATTGAAGATTGTATCAAGTGGAAATTATATCTTTATTCTCATTGAATAGAAATTAAATCACAATGTACTACTTTATGCTTCAATATCAGAAGATATATAAGAATATAAAAAAATATAGCTTTCTACTATTAAAGATATATTTGCATCACCTTTATTATAGGGTTATATAATAATTAAATAGGATAGATAATTAATCATATATTGTATTTTATATATACCTGTATAAATATTTAATGAAATTGTCTAACCTTTATAAACAAATGTGATTATTTTAAAAAATTATTTTGTAGTATTGATGAAATCAAGTAATGAAAAAGAAAAGATTTGTGATATTTATTTTTTTAAAAGTGCATTATCAATTGAAAAATTAGGAAGAAATCCTCTTGAGAAATTTTCTTAGATTTAAATTGATGATGTTTTAGTTTCAACAAATGAAAATATCTTTTATTTGAAATGTTAAGTTTAACTTTAATAAATGAAGAGATATGTTCTTGTTGGTTTTAAAATTGGAAAATCCATTTATAAATCATTAATATTTATTTTATTAAGAAATATCAATAGTGAATTTTAAGCAATTTCAAAATTACTAATAAAATTAAATAAAAATTAATTAATGCCTTTAATTTATTTACAAGATTCTTAAATATGTTTATTAAATGAAAATGATGAAATAATTAAAGATTTTGAATCATTAAATGAAAAAGAAATTGATTTGGTAGATGGTGATAATAAACCATCAATAATAGATAATAGTGATAATGAAAAAAATGATCAAGATAAGTAGGATAATAATGATGATCAATCTGATGATAATACACTTGATTTAGATACTTCTAATTTCCAAATAGGTTCATTTTTAGTAATGAGTACAATTGAAGAGGCATTGATCTATTCACTTTTTAAGACATTTGGTAGAAGAAGAATTGAGCCTATTGATGTAGTATGATTTTTTAGATTGATGTAGAATAAAATCTTATATTTTATTTTTGAATTTTATATTAGTTTTAAATTAATATATTTTAAATATTAGAAATGACAGAAGAGAAGAAGAATTAAATTTTTGAATATAAAGATGACATCAATGGAAAAGTGCCAGTAATATTTTAATGGAGTTTTGACTTTAATTTTTTAGTTTGTGGTGGAGATAGATCAGTAGTTTATGTAATTGATAAGTAAATAATATGATAATAATATTAGACGAGGGAAACGTTTAAAGGATATTTAATTACCAACAAATAATAAATTATTGTAATTAGAATGGGATAAAGATAGTGAATTTATTTGCATTGTATAAGTATGAAAGAATCAAAATTAAAAAAGGATGGTCTCAATTATGTTAATTTATGGGCTCCATTTACAAATAATCCAACACTTATTCAAATAGAATTAGATAATGTCAAAGCAAAAGTTTCATATGCTAGATGGTCTAAAAGTCATGGAATATTGGCAATAGGATCAGATAAAGGTGGAGTATTGTTTTATACAAAAAAATAAGCGAAAAAATTACCTACAATGGGAAAACACAGTAAGAAAATTATTAGTGGGGATTGGAATAATGAAGGTTATTTAAGTATGTATTTCTAATAATATTATTATAGTAACAAGTGGAGAAGATAAATTTTTAACAGTTTCAAATTATAATGCAGAAACAATATTTGAATCTATTCCTGTTAAAGCTGAAGCTAAAAATGTTCTTTGGTCTATATCAAAGACAGATTCAAAGGAATAGATTTAAAGAACAGTAACAGCTATAATACAATAAAAAACAATTATTATGTTTGAATTAGGAAAGAATCATAAAATGCCTGATGAATTTGTATTTGAAAATAAATATGGGAAAATTATTGATTATACAATCTTTAATGATGGATATTTGGTTATAGGATTCAGTGAAGGTTATGTTGTCAAAGTTTCTATTCCCATAAAAGATAATAGTAAACTCTATGTATATTTCATTAGAGGAGGATGTACGAAATAAGAAATTATTGAAGTAAGTAGATTCTATCTGTACAAATGATAGTCTCTAAAAATTGGCAGTAGCAGGAGATGGTTTTATTAAAATGGTTAATCTTCAATCTTGGGAAGAAATAACTGAAGAATAAATTAAATTACCAAATGATTGTGGTCGTGTATCTAAAATGTAATATTTATATTATATATATAAAGGGCTTGGAGTTCAAATGGATTAATCTTAATTGTTTCAACTGAAAAAGGAAATTTATTAGGATACTAAACATCAATACCAACATTAACAGCTATTTATAAATCTATGATTGCATTACAATAATCATTTACACAAATCAAAATCTATTCAACTTAAGACTAATCATTAACAGAAAAAGCTACTATTTTTTTAGAGAATGAACCTAATTAAATTTCTATGAGTATGAAATATTTTGCTGCTGGACTAAATAATATGGTTTATTATTATAACTATTTGGAATTAAAAAGTAAAAAAGATGATACTTCTCCTTCATCTATTATTTTAAAAATGGATTATTTAGGATATGTAAATTAAATCATTTTAAATAATGAATTTGCTGCTATCTTAAGTAATAATGTTTGTACATTTCATAAAATTGAACAAGCAGGTGATTTTATTAAATAGTAATCTATCTATTATAATTAAATAGATAATTCCCTCCTAATGATTAAGAAAAACCTATCTTACATATTGGATTAACTAGACATTTTCTATTTTTATTAGATTCTTAATCTAAAATTAGAGTCTATAATTTCCTTGAAAAATAATTTATTATTGAATTCAATAATGATTACAATTTAACCAAAATCTTTCCAAATTTTAGTGGAACAAGATCCATTTGCATTAATAATAAAGGTTAAGGCTTTTTATTTGAAACATCTCTTGAAATATTGACCAAAATACCTATTTTTCCAGAAAAAACAGAGAGAATTATTTGGGATCAATAGGATCCTAATTTATTTGTGACATAAGAAGATATTCTACTTACTACTTATATAGTTAATAAAAATAATTTAAAATAAGAAATGGTACATCCAGTATTAGAATATTTGTCTCATGAAGATCTACATAAGCCAACAGATCCATCTGTAACTAAAATAGAAAAAGGAGTATAAGTCTTAAGTTTAACAAATGGTACTTTAAAATGTTTTACAACGACAAGAAATGTTATAGGTTAACCATTACTTAGTCATTCTTATTTGAATTAATACAAAGGATCCAATGATGCAAATGATGGTCATTTTAGATATTTTTTATAAAATCTAGCTCTATTTAAATTTGCTAATGCACATAAGGCAGCTGTGAATTTAAAGAATCTAAAATTATTTGATACTTTTGGTAGAAAATGTTTGGAAAATCTAGAATTTGATGTTGCTTAAAAAGCATTTCAATCTGCCAACAATATATCTATGGTTATGATGATATAAAGTTTTAAGCATGAAACTGAAAAGACTTTATTATTTGCATATGTAGCCATGATTTTAGGATAACATGATTTGGCATAAGATTTATTCTTAAAATCATCTTATAGATTAGGAGCTCTAGAATTAAGAAGTGATATATAAGATTATGTGAATGCTTTATCTTTAGCTAGGAAAATAGCACCAGAATAAGAACCATTCATTTGCAAAAGATTAGGAATCTAAATAGAAACATAAGGAAATAATCCAGAAGCAGTTAAAATGTATGAGATGGCTATGTTGAATGAGAAACTTCATGACTCTAAAACAGTTGAGATTCATAATTAATAATGTGTTGCTGGTATTGCTCGTTGTTCAATAAAAATGGGTGATATTTTAAGAGGATCAAGTCTTTCAAGACAAATTTAAGATCCTTTGATTTTATAGGAAATTGCATTAGTGTGTGAGAATATGAAATTTCAAGTTGAAGCTGCTGAACTTTATGAATAAGCTGGTTGTATAGAGAAGGCAGCTACTATTTATATAACATAAAAGATGTTCAAATAGGCTGCACCTTTAATGAATAAAGTGAAATCTCCAAAGTTGTTGATTTTATATGCAAAGGCAAAAGAGAGTGAAGGAGCCTTTAAAGAAGCAGAAAATGTTTATGAAAAAGCTGAAGATTGGGAAAATGTTGTTCGCTTAAATTTAAATTAATTAAATAATATAGAAAGAGCAAAATTCATATTACGTAATAAATGTAAAACTGTATCACTTGCATTAATGGTTGCATAATATTGTGAAAGAAGAGGATCTAAAGCAGAAGCTGTTGAATTCTTGATTTTGGCAGAGAAAAAAGAGTAGGCATTTGCTTTGGCTTAAAACTTCAATGAAATGGATTCTTATGTAGAACATATGAAAGCATTTTCATTAGAAGAACGTTTATAAGTTGCTTAATATTTTGAAGGCAAAAATTAATTAGATAAAGCTGCATTTCATTATGAGAAAGCATAGGATCCACTGAAAGCTTTAAGATTATATTAATAAGCAGGAGAAGAGTTTATTAATGATATGATAGATTTAGTTGCACGTAATAAATAGGATAATCTAATATAAAATTTATCAGATTATATTAATGGAGATACTGATGATATTCCTAAGGATCCCATTTATTCATTGAAATTATAAAAAGCTATTGGTAATTTATAAGCAGTTGGAAGGATTGCTATTACTATTGCAGCATCAGAATAGGAATGTGGTAAATATAAGGAAGCTCATCAATTTTTATATGAAACTTGTGATGATTTGAAATCTAGTGGAAATTAGATACCATTTGATTTATATTAAAAATTGATGACTTTACATTCATATACATTAGTTAAAAAGATTATGAAATTAGAAGAACATGAAGATTTAGCAAAATTATTAGATAGAGTATGTAAAAGTATTAGTTAATTTCCTAATGGTGCAACAAATATCTTAACAATGGCTGTAATAGAAGCCACAAAAGCTAATTTTAAGTAATTATTTGAATTTAATTATAGATCATTAGCATATTAATGGGCTATTACATTAATGAAATAAGAATATAGATCTTAGATTAATGAGAAATTTAAAACAAAAATTGAAAATATTGCAAGAAAACCAATAAAGGAAGAAATTCCAGATAAGAAAACACCTTGTCCATTTTGTGGAGTATAAATATATTAAAAATTAATAGGAATTTGTATCTGAATTTTGTTTAGATTGTCCAAAATGTTCAAATAATATACCATTTTGTATTGCATCAGCAAAGTAATTAAATAGATAATCAATTTTAGACATATAGTAGCTGAACAATGTTGTTTATGTCCTGAATGCAAATTTCCTGCTAATATCTAATACTTTAGAAGAATACTTGAAATTGAACCTATTTGCCCACTTTGTCAAAAGTAAATAAGACCTCAAGATTTAAAGGAAGTATGAAATATGATAGAACATAATAGATTACAAAAGAAGAAGTACTTAAGTTAAAGAGGAAGGCTGTAGTTGATGAAAAAAAATAATGAAGATTATTATTATAAAGTTATTAAATTAATGTCTGATAGTAAAAATACTCCTCGAAATCATGGTAGATCAAAGACTAAAACAAGTATGATATCTTTTGAAATAGGTGAAAACTTATAAATATAATTTAAAAAACCATCAGTTGCAAATGAAAGATTGGTCGTTAATAAATTAGGTATGAAATTTGATCCTGTTTGTTGGAAGAAGAATCATGAAAAAGGAAAAATTCAATTTGTTTGTATTGTAAATCTTATGCATTATTAAAAAGGAATCTAATTGTAATGCTGATAGAAGATTGGCTTGTGCACATTGTATTATTGAAGAACATGATGAACATATTTCAAATAAGGTTACTGTTGAATAATATTGTGATACTTTTGAAAATAATTTCAAGAGCTATCTTTTTTAAGTAATTTATAGAAAACTAAATAGGTAGCAAAATTAGAGGAATATTATAAAAAATGTAAAATGATGGATTTAATTGATTAAATAGATAAAGATATTAATACAGTTGTCGAAATTGTTAAATAATAACTAAAAGCTTTAAGAGATTATTATGTATAAGACATTTAATTACATGCTGAATAAAATAATTCCTCTTTATTTACATTTTATAATACAGAAAGATAGACTCTTTCTAAGATAAAGGATTATGCACACAAGAATCTATTTGAAATGACACCTGCTGAAATGGATCATAGTATGTTATTAATGGGTTAAAGTCATTTGGATAAAATTCTAATCAAATTATCTGAATTTGATGATTAAACCTCAACTCTTTAAAGTACTATGAAATCTTAATGGAAATTAATATATGAATAATTAGAAGAATCATTAATTGATATTATAGCTTAAATTGGATAGAATAATCTAGATTTTATTTAACCAATAATTAAAGAGTCTTAATAAGAATAATATTAATCTACAAATTAATAATAAAATTTAGATATATAAAAATTTAATTTATAAAATGTTAAAACTTCTACTAAATAATAACAGATTAATTAATAATAATAATAGTAATAATAATAATAATAATAATAATAATAATAATAATAGATTAATTAATAATAATAATAATAAAATAATTCACTATAAGCATATATAACTTAACAATTACCTCCTCAACCATAATAATATTCTTAGAATTCCTAATCTATAAAAAAAGAAGTTAGTAGACATAGTGGAAACACTGTACAATAATAATCAAGTAAATAATAGACAAGCAATTAACCTTCATCTAGTAATTAGCAATTATCACATAAATAATTATAATCAAATAGTCCAAGAAATTCATCTGATAATTAAAGTTTTAAATAGATATAAGGTATATGTTAATATTAAGTGATTTCACCTTTAAAATGTGGAGTAAATACAGCTTCTTTTGGTAATTTAGGAAGTAGTAATTAGAAATCTCTTAAAAATATAACTCAAACTAACAATAATTAAGTGCCTATTCAATCATAAACAGAATAGAAAAATAATTCAAATGCTAAACCTAGTTCTCATATTAGATAAACTAGTCCAAATGGTGTAAATTATTATTATTAAAGTGATGGTAAACAATATGAAAATAGAAAGAATGTTAATCATGTTTAATCTTTAAATTCATCATCTTAATAATAATAATAATAATAATCATTTGAGAGAAGATTGTCAGCTCAAAAAGTCTAAAGTACTTAATTTCCCTGTAATTATAATAATATGAAATGCATTCATAATGAACTTATTAAAGCTAGTCCTATTTTTAGTTGTTGTAATTGGGTATATAATTAGATTTATATTTAAATTTAGGCATTTCCATGTTATGAATGTCATGACATGATTTCATCACATAAAGCACATATAACTGTTCCATCCTAAAGATTTTGTTAGAACTGTCATGAAATATTTTCTGTAAATTTAATGTCTACAGTAGATGTCAAATGTTATAAATGTTAATGAACAAAATTTATTATTATTAATAATTATCTAAACATACTTAAGATTTTATTATTATGCAACTAATTAATCATACTCTTATAATTACTTTTTAGGATTTACTATAAATGTGAAAATTCATTTTCTTATGATTAATTTATTTTAATAAATCATATCTATAATAATTTATTTTTAAATAAAGCAAAATGAGTTATTACTTAGAATTTATTGGAATCAAAATATAGAAATCCATAATATTGTTCTCATATTAATAAAGAGTTTACTTTTAGATCAAAATACTTCTTTGCATTCCTTTAAACAGAAAATTGTAGTGTAATCTTCATTATTTGATTTTTCTAATTTCAACAAATGTTTCCTTATTGAGTTTGCAATTAATTTTTATTTATCTAAGTAGAGAATATTTTTAAATCTCCAATACATATTTCAAAGTGATCAGGATATAAACTAAAATCTAAATACCTTTATATAATTCTCATCAATTATTAAAAACTAAACAGACATTATATTCAATAAGGATCTAATGATTTATTGAAAATCCATATAAATAGACACTTAGTATATCATTTATCCATGAATCCTTTGCATTATTCTTTAGTTAATTCTTTAGTATTATTTATCTATTTTTAATAATATAAAATAATGACCCATGGTATAATATTTTGTTTTATTTGATTAGTGCTTTACTTTGGTAAGACACTTGCCAATTTGCAAACTGAAAGTCTTCGAAATCAATAACAGATGTATAATTATCTAAATAAGTTTTAGATTAACAAGAGTATGTTTCCCAGAAAATGTATTTTCTAGTGATCCAAAGAAATAGAATAAAGGTGGAGAACAATAGCTAACATTTATTAAAGTTGCTTGTTGCCAAAATATTATATTCTTACTTGATAGTATTTGATAATTCTTCAATTAGACAAATCTGAATTATGGGCATTTGGATCATCATAAGAAGGATAATTAGGAATCCGAATGAGTAGCCTAATGTATCCAGTAAACATATCATAAGTGTTAGACAATAAAATTAAATTAATGACTGCATCATAAAATTTTGTATCAGTACTTACAATAAAAAATCAATTATACATTTGGGGCAAGTATGAGGAACTAAATTTAGGAGATTAAATTAAACCAAAGAAGATTGAATTCACAAAGTCACTTGATAGAAGGTATGAATTTAATTGTTCTGATATCACATACATTTTAAAATAACAATCAGTCTCTTTTATCAATGAAGAAATTTTACAATTACAATCAACCAATAACATATTATATATTTTGAGTAAAGAGCATTTAGATGTTATCTCATAGCAACCACATATAATTGCATAAAAGTTTGTGGGTATAGCTTGCAATTAAAATCATGCTTTGGCTTGGGATGTTGATGGAAGAGTATGGAGTTGGGGTTAATATGTAGATGGCAAATTAGGTTACATGAGTTTTGAATAAACATAATAAAACTATCCTAAAATAATTGATACCCTCGAAAATAGAATTATATAATGTGCATGTGGATTAAACTATAGTATAGCTTTGGATGTTAAAGGTGATATATATGGATGGGGAAAGGGTCCTTTTAAAATGGAATTATTAAAAGCAACTATTCCAACTAAATTAATATAAAAGAATAAATCTTTTGTTAAAGTGGTTGCAGGTGATGAGCATTTTGGTGCTTTGGATATGATTGGTTAATTGTATGTATGGGGTTTAAATCATAAAAATTGTTTAGCTTAATTAGAAGAGGAAATTCTCACACCTACATTATTTTAATTAGCTGGAATCAAAATTATTGATGTAGCTATGGGTCCATTTTGTACAGTTTTGATTATACCAGCAGATCGTTTACAGAAATTACCTAATCTAAATTTGGATTCATTTACTATACAATAAAAGAAATGTTTCCTTGAGGAAGCTAATCTTATTAGAGATTTTACTGAAAGAAGAAATAGGTAAACCTTATCATCTATGCTCACTCCAATTCAAACCAAAAATCTTATTTTAGATGATACAGAATTTGATAGAGCTAATGAATTAATACATTAAATGTAATTACATTTAGATTCTCCTCATTATAAACATACTTTTAATACTACTCATCATTCTCATTCCTTAATTAATAATTATAGTTCGCCTTATAAATCTCTGAAGTCTCCCATTTCTTTTGATAAAATTTAAAATAAATTAACTAAACTTGAACACAATAATCCACTCTATTTACCAATTTTACCTCATTTATAATATAATAAATCATCTATTGATGAAGATGTCAATCTCGAAAATCTAATTAGAACAGATGATGATGAATTGAAATATAGATATATCTAATTAGTTAAATAAAATAGTGAAGATTAAATATTAATGTAATTGTTGGATGATTAATTAAGTGAAAAACCTTAAAATGAACGTATCATTAATTAATAAAAAATTAAAATTAAATAAAGGACAGAACCAAAAGAAATTAAATATAATGATAAATTTGATAGACTTGATCCTCATTTATTATCAAATGTAAGAAAAGAACTTGCTGATATCAGTAAAGATAGATGGAAATAATATTAAAAAAAAAAAAAAATTAAAGAAAATAAAATTAATTTTCTTAAAACTAAATTTTAAATGACAAAACTTGAATAAATATCAAAAGAAGAACAAATTGAATCCAATAGATTATAAGCAGTTGAAAAAAATATTAAGGCTTAATATACTGTTTTGAGGAAGGAAGAAAAATTGAAAACAAAATTGGAAGGGATTTAAGGTGAAACACATGAAAATCAATAAGATTTTTAAATTAAAAAAAGAGTCGATATTAAAAAAGAAATAGCAAGATAATATGCATTGTATACATTATTAAAATATTTAAATTTTGAAAGTTTTTGTTAAATGTTTCAAGAAGCAGCTGAAAGAGGATTACAAAAAAAGAAATTAATGTTCTAAGCTAATAATAAAGCAAAAATTATACAAAAAGCTATTCGAAAAAGAAATATTATTAAAGTAATCAATAACAAATTAGGATCTAAATCAAGGAAAATATTATTATCTTTTATTTTTAGGATAAGAATGTCAATTCGAATCAAAAAGAAAAGAATCATTTTTAGAAAAATTAATCTAAATAATTTAAAATCATCAATTTTTCTAAAAGTTCGAACAAATCTTAATGTAATGATTAAGGCTACTAAAAATATATAATAATTTTGTAGATATTTTAATCAGATGATGAAAATTTAATTAAGTTATTTAAATTATAAATGGGATGAATATATGAGATAAGAATTTAAAGGTATAATTATTGATAAAGAGAAAGAAGAATAAAAACTAAATCAATTACAAATATTAAATGAAAAATAAATATAAATAATGAAATAATTATCATATCCTATAAAATCTTAAAAAGCTCTCTTAAAAGAAATTGTATTATATAAAAAACCAAAATTAAAAATTGATATGTTAAGATATAATCTACTTAAGAAAATACCCAATAAAATTATTAATGAAGATGAGTAAAAAGAGAAGGAAATAAAATTAAATTATAATAATGTACTATTTCCTTATACAAAATATGTTGAAAATATTGTAATTCCATAAAATTTTAGAATAAGATTTGACTATTAAGAAATTTAACTTTTAAATGTTTTAGATAAAATTAATTTAGAAGAATCTAAATTAAAATTAGAAATTTTATAAAATTATTAGAAATTATAAATTAAAAATCATATCTAATAATGTATGAATGTAATATTTAATATATTAAGAATTAGTATTTCTAAGCACTTCTAGATTTTAAATAAAAGAACAAAGTCCTTATTGCAACTGAAAGAATGAAAATTATGTCAAAATTATCATCTGATGAAATTAAATAGATGAAATAAAAGGAAGAATAAGAGTTTAGAATGATGATAGAAAAAAGAGAAATCAATATGAAAAGAAGTAACATTATATCTATTCTATATTAGTTCGATTAAATGGTTCTTTATCTAAAGAGAATATTTTCGATAAAATTAAATCATTTTCATCTGATAATTATCCATTCCAAATGCTTACTTATAAATTAGTTGTTTATTTAAGTCAAATAGAATAACCAAAATTATAAATAGATTTAACACATAAGGAATGGATTAGATTAATGAAAAATTATCATTCAGATTTTAAAATCAGATTATAATCTATAATGAGTGATGCCAGAAGTGCAGCTGCATATAAAGCAAGATAAATTAAAAGAGCTCCAACAATTTAATTAAAAAGATCCCCAACTATGGTATCAAAGTCCTTTTAATCCAAAAAATAAATTGATTGAATTTGATAATTTTTTTAATGTATAACTCAATTTAGAGGTGCATATCCAGTGTCCTAATCTTCTTAATCCTCTTCTTAATCCTTTCTTTTTTTGTAGAAGAAAAATCCAAGTATTCCTAACACAAGTGCAGCTCCAACAACAATTAGAGTTATCCACCAGGCTTTAGAACTTGTATCTCCATCATCTCCACCATTATCTGGTTTAATACTCAATTTAATTTATTTAGAGACTTATCTGTAATCATTAGAAAAGGTTAAGGTTAAGGTTTAATTTTCAAGTTTGGCACTCTCTCCAAACCTTAGACTAATATCTTATCTGATTTCATATTGATATAAACCCTTAGTAACTTTGCTTGATATCAAAGAGGAATCCTAAAATATAAATAAAATTTACTTGTAAATAAAGAAGGAAATCAACTGGTTCTAGTTTTTGAATTCCTTATGTAGTAAATGAAAATGACCCATTTATGACAGATACAGCCTTTTCTGTAATGTGATAAACACCAACAACAACTTTTGAATTATGCATATAGGCTACAACAACAGATTATTTATTAGCAGCAATAGTGTTCAATGCTTTCCATGTTCCATATCTATTCAAAGCTACTTTAACATTAGTTTCTTATGTCAACTTATTTGATTAATTGTCTAAAATTGCAAATTAAAGATTGAAAACATAAGATGATGAGTTATCAGTAATAACTACTAATGTGATGCTCTTGATTTTATCTTTATTAGATTCTTCAATGATTTTATTAGAATAATAATGTGTATTATCATTAGCATATTATTTATGTTCATTCAACCAATTTTAAAGTAATAAATATTCCATAAATAAATACTTTGGTTCAAATGTATTCTTTTAAATACTGAAATCAATAAAGACTAAACCATTCACACTATCAGAAATAATGAATTAAACTGAAAGTGATTCCTCATCTGAATGAGTTAATGAATGTGAAAATGAAGATGGTCTAAATTATTTAGGTGCTTATGCTCCCATTTTCTATTATATGAAATCATAATCTATAGTTAATAATATATTAGATGACCAAATTCCATCAATTTATACTAATTTTTGAATTGTTATATATCCATCATAATTTTCAGGATTTAATGAATCTGTATGAAGTATAACAACAACATCTTAAGCTAAAGCAACAATTTAAGTTGCAAATGGAACTGAAATATAAGCATTTTCTCTTTAACATTTTTATTTATCATCACAAGTAGCTACTTATATTTAATCTTCTACACCATTATTACAAAGTGAATAAATAGATTTATCAAAAGTTGTTAATCTGAAACAATCATATTCTTTAGGTAAATCATCTTTAAAAAGTGGTACACTATCAACTAATTTGTTGTCTTTCATTAAAAGTATATTGTTCATTGCTTAAAGTACAACATTCTTTTAGAAAGCTGAAGCATCTTTGAATTAATAATTCTTAAGTGCCATATTTTAAGTCTCTTAGAGATATGATTATAAGACAATATCATTAGTTTTTTCTTATTTTAATGTACAATAAGCTTACTATCCACTAATCCATCCATTTGACAAACCAATAGTAGTTGAATTTAATTTAGCTTCAATTTCTATTTATTAAGTTGCCTTTGTATCATCAACAATTAAATTAGTGAATGTATTGATTACTTTGACCTTTTAAGTAAATGGAATTATATTATTATTTTTTGAATCAGCATTCTTAACATTAATAGAAATTTCATAGTCAGTAATATATTTTTGTTTCTATTTGTTAGGAATAAGAATCAATTCTGGATCAAGTACAATAAATTCTAATTATTAAACTGCCTCACTATTAGCTAATGCAATTATATATGCTGATCCTTTTGGATCTGATCCACTTGCAGATAATTTAAATGTATCCTCTACTTTACAATTAATTTTAACAGCCAAATAAAATGTATCATGTTGTAATTGATCTGGTTTGAAAATATTCAAATATACATTATCATCCTTTGTAGTTCTGATTACTAAAATACCTGTTTTAATGTGAGAAGAAACACTTAAAGGCATTGTAATTTAATATCCATATAATTGTACAGTCTTCTATTTGAAAACAGAATTAATATTTTCATAATTGTATTCACTCAATTCTTGGTTATTAACAAAGAAGAATGAATTAGTTGATTAAGCTATGTATAATTAGTTGTCTTTTGTGTAGTCCATCTTGGATCCATATATAAATTCTTAATTGCTATAATTGATAATCACAACATTATTTTCATTTTGAACAAAGATAACATTTTATCTTAACACTCTATTTCCATATAATTTAATAGGTTTCCAGTCTCCTTAAAATCCAATCAAGTTTTCTCCTGTAATTTAGTTTATTAATGTAAAAGTCTCAGTAGAATATGATGACAATACTCCACTTTCCTATATTACAAATAGAAATTCTCCTTGATTCTAGAATGCTACTGCTTTTAATTCATCTTTCTCTTCATCTTTATTTAATTTAATTTTTCCCTATTCAATAATTGTAAAAAGTGTAATTCTATAGAATTTAATTAAAAATGGTGTTTCCAATATAACGAAATGAACTATATTTTCAGAGTCTTACCATATATCGAAAATTTAATCAGATAATTCTACTTAAACTTACAAATTTCCTATATCTTTACACTCATATTTTATATGATCAACCAATTCACAAGTTTAAATTAAAACTTTCTTATCTTCTTATTAGAAAACTTAGAATAAGGTTTCTTAATTGTTGCCAACTAATGATGCCTAATATAATGGTTTCTTTAACCATTTATTTACTTGAATTGTTCTTTAATGTGCAATTTGAGCAAATACATCTAAATCTGGTTCTGCATTTACACTTAAAAATTGATTTTTATTTAATTCAATTGGTAACTTTGGTTGAACAATTTCATAAATCAAATTAGGACCTGATACTAAATTTCCTAACTTAATTTATTCATCATTTTCATCTAAAATATTAGGGAAAGGTGTTTCAGTATCATCCTTCTTATAAATGGTTTCACTATTACTTGCTATTACTAGATAATAAAGTCTAGAATAACAGAGTTAGTTGTGTTGAGATTTGGCTTAAATTGTCACAGCTTTGAAATTAGTACTTGCTTATGCATTTCCATTGAATTTTAATTATCCCAAACTAAAGGTCCAAGCAGATGAAGATGTTAATGAAACAGTTACAATTTCTTAACTATTTGGATTTATGATTCCTGCTCCATTTGACAAATTTACAATATCAATAAGACTACTATTATTATCATCAAAGTGGTATATGTAAAGATTTCCTTAATTCTTTGTAAACACATATTTGCCACTTAATCTAATAGATTAAGGATATGTAACACTAGCAAAAGGAAGATCTTATATTTTAATAATATTTCCTTCCTAATTAATCACTCCATAGTAATTAAAACCTTTTATTACAAATATTTCCTAATTATTACTAAGTACAGCTCTATCAAATGCAAAAACTTAGCCAAACTTTACATTTATTGTTTTAGAAAATTTCCAATCAGTATCAAAATGAACAACAAAAATTCCTAACTTAGCATCTAATAAATAAATTTATCCATTTAATCCAATATTGAAATCAATAATATTCAATTCATCTATTTATTTTCCAGATATATTAGATAAAATACCTTTATCTAATTTTCCTTTACTAGCTAACCCATCGGCTTAAAGTTAAAACAATTCAACATATGAATCATGTGCTAATTACCCTTCGTTTGTGATAGATAAAGAAACTCTTACAACATACTAATCATCCTTGATTCTATATTATCCTAAAGCTCTTTTCATTAAATTATTTTCAATTGTAATTATTCGTTTTTCATCAGTTCCGTTGATAAATAAGAAGAATTTATTATCTTTAAGTTAACAATCAACAACAAAAATAGTAGTAGATAATTATAGAAAATCTTAGCAATCTAAATTGTCTTCTGCGGCTTTAATATTAAGAACTTAATTAAATGATGGTGCAGCATTAATTGCAGGACTATTATAATAAAAATAAATAAATTACGTATTTGTATAGAAAATTGAATAATTAGATCCCTATTTATTTAAAAATCCAAATTAATTAGACCAGGCTCTATTTTAAGTCAATATAGCTTTAGCAGATACAATTTATGTTGCAACTAATTTATTTATATTTTTATATAATTACCTTATTTATGATCTATTGAATCTCCTATTTAAGTTAATGGTTAAACTACTGAAAAGTCAGCTTAGTCTACACTATATTTTAGAGAAACACCATCAAAGAAGTTTTAAGTTAATGCCCATTACATAACTTCTCCTTGGGATGTGTAAATCTTTAGATCTGTCATCTTAGTTTGACATTCATCCTTATCTACAGGATTAATTGATAAATTAACTGTTCTGACTACTCTTCTAAAATCATTCTAAAATGTTAATGTCAACTTTTGAGAATGTAAATTTTTTGGCTCTCCGAATTTTAATATTTGTTGATATCTGACTAAATTTTAATAGACTCCAGCCTTTGAAGTACTTGTCAAGAATATACTATCTGTATTATAAAGTAAGAAATCTTGAGGGGTGATTTATTGTTAAAAGTATGCAAATGTATGAGATCCTTATATAGTTTAAACTGCAGAATTTTCTTAATCGGTTGGGATCTTATAAACTCCTATAATCACTTCTAAGTTGTTAACATAGGGGATTGCTATTGAAGATGATGAAGCTGAAACATAGTTCAATGCCTTGAAATTACCATATCTATTTAATGTAACAATAGTTCTTATTGAACTTAGTTTAGATGAAACATTAGCTTAAATTGCAAAAACTAATTCAAAAACAAATGATGATGAAATATCAGTTACGAGAACTAATCTTACTGTTTTTTTAGTAGGATATTCAACTTATTAAGTTATTATTTAAGCTTAATAATAATGAGTAGCATCAGTTGCATATTAATCAATATTTAGCCAATCTTTCAACAATTAGTATTCTGAAAATTGATACTTCACTTCTGAAGTTGTCTTTGAAAGTGTTAAATCAACAAACAATAAACCATTTACACTATCAGTAATAATCAATTACAAATAAAAGACAGATACATTATTTCCTGTTGGTGAATGCACAAATGAAGATGGTCTAAATTATTTAGGTGCTTATGCTCCCATTTTCTATTGAATGAAATCATAATCTATAGTTAATAATATATTAGATGACCAAATTCCATCAATTTATACTAATTTTTGAATTGTAATATATCCATCATAATTTTCAGGATTTAATGAATCTGTATGTAGTATAACAACAACATCTTAAGCTAAAGCAACAATTTAAGTTGCAAATGGAACTGAAATATAAGCATTTTCTCTTTAACATTTTTATTTATCATCACAAGTAGCTACTTATATTTAATCTTCTACACCATTATTACAAAGTGAATAAAGTCTTGTGGTATCGGCTTCTAATCTGTAACATTTATATTATTCAGATAATTTTGGTAATAATGGTTGAGCATTTTTTAAGTCATCTCCCTTAAATGACAATACAGTATTTGAAGCTTATAAAAATGTTACAGCTTATGGTTTAGCTACATCAAATATGGTGTAATCCATTAAAACTGGCTATTCTTAACTTACAAAAGGTAAAAGTGTTATATCATCATTAATTGCCTATAATGATAATTCTGTACTTATTATTTAACCTCCAATCCAATCAGATCTAATGGCTACTTCAGTTTTACCATCATTTTCATTAATATCAATTGAATTTAAATATTCTTCATCATTAACAATCAAATTAGTAAATGTATTTGCTACTTTTACATTTTATTCATAATTTATTTTTTAAGTTTAATCATCCCCATTCATTATAGCCATTAAAATTTAAAAGTTTGTAACAAATTTCTAAAGTTTTTTGGTTGGTATAATTATTAATTCAGGATTTAATAAAATAAAGTTTAATTATTGAATCTTCTATCCATTTGCAAAAGTGATTATATAAAGAGAACCTCCCAAAGATAATTAAATTTGATCATCTTATTTAATACCATTTAATTTAAATGCTAAATAGAATGTATCATGTTATGTTAATGATGGTCTAAATATATTTAAATAAACATCTTATGCTTTAGTAGTTTTAATTATTAAATTACCAGTTGATAATTAAGATGTAACAGTTAATGGATTAACAATAGTATATCCAAATAATTCAACTGTTTTTGATTTGTAAATATTTAATAAGTTTGAATAATTATATTCCAATATTTCTTTATTATTAACTAAAAAGAATGAATCTTTTGCAGCTGAAATATATATTTCATTATTTTAAGTATAATCCATTGATTTTATGAACAAAAATTCTGTATTGATGTAATTAATTAAGACAATATTATTTTCATTTTGAACAAATACAATATTTGATTTTAACATTCTATTACCATATAATTTCAAAGGTTTCCATTATCCATTAAATCCAATTAAATCATTACCAGTTATATTATTAACAAAGCTAAATTATTCAATTGTATAACTACGTAATACACCATTCTTTTACAAAATAAATAGATATTATCCTTAATTTAATATACTTACTATTTATTAACCTTCTTATTCTGTAAATTAAATTGATTTATCTTCAATAACAACACCATCAGGAGCCAAATAAGCTGTTACTTTATATGATGATTAAATAGTAATAAATCTTACAATATTATCGCTATCTTACCATATGCTGAATAATTAATCAGATACTCTTTCTTAAAGTTAGACATTTCCATAATCTCTGCAAACATATTTAATGTGATCAGTCAAAACACAAGTTTAAATTGTTAATAGCTTATCCTAAGTCTAGAAGATTTAGAATAAGGTTTCTCTATCATTTCCAACTAATTCAGTACTATATAAAGGTGTTTTAGGCCAATTAGTAACTTATATTTCTCTGTTTTATACAACTTATGCAGTGAAATCTAATGGCATTTTTGGTAATGATAAGATGTATTCAAGATTTGGACCTGAAATAAGGTTGCCTAATTAGAATTATTCAAAGATTTCATCAAAGACTTATGGGAAAGGTTAATCAGATTTATTTTTTTTGATTGGAGCTTTACTGCTACTTTCAATTATTTGATATTAAATCTTGGTGGAGCAAGTTATTTTATGTTATGAAGTGGCTGTAATAGTTAAGTCTTAGAATGCTTAAGATGCTTGATTAACTCCATTGAATTTTAGTGATCCTAAACTTATGTTCCATCTTGCTGATGATTGAAGAGAAAGAGTTACGATTTCTTAAATAAATGGATTGATAATAGCAGCACCATTAGTTGAATCAATTATGTCAATCAAACCAGTATTAATATCATCAGAATGATAAATATATAATGTAGCTTAATTCTTAACAAAAATGAAATTGGAACTAGCTTAAATAGATTAGGGATATGTGATGGAATTAAATTACAAATCTTAAACCTTTTTAGTTTTTCCTTCAGAATCAATTATAATGTAGTAATTATATCCTTAAATTACAAATGCTTCTTCTTGATTTTTAAGTATAGTTCTATCAAATGCAAATGATTGTCCAAATTTATATGTGATCAAATTTTTGAATCTCCATTCAGTATCAAAATTAACAACAAAGATTCCTATCTTAGCATCTAATAAATAAATTGATCCATTTAATCCAACCTTGAAATCTACAATATTCAATTCATTTATTTATTTTCCATATATATTAGATAATTTAGCTTTATCTAATGTTTACTTAGCTTATAATGAACCACTAGCATATTAAAATAATTCAACAAATGAATCATTTGTTAATTAACCTTCATTTGTATAAGAGAATGTTACTCTTAAGACAAATTATTAATCATTAATTTTGTAGGCACCTAAAGCTCTATTTACTTAAGTATTTGTAATTGTAGTTGTTTATGTTTCATCAGTATCCTTAATCAATAAAAAGAATTTATTATTTTGGATCTAGCAATCAACAACAAAAGTAGTAGTAGATAATTATACAAAATCTAAGCAATTAAGATTTGCATCAGTCTTTTTAATATTAAGAACTTAATTAAATGATGGTGCAGCATTAATTGCAGGACTATTATAATAAAAATAAATAAATTACGTATTTGTATAGAAAATTGAATAAGTGGATCCCTATTTATTTAAAAATCCAAATTAATTAGACCAGGCTCTATTTTAAGTCAACATAGCTTTAGCAGATACAATTTATGTTGCAACTAATTTATTTATATTTTTATATAATTACCTTATTTATGATCTATTGAATTTCCTATTTATGAAGTTGGTTATATTATTGTAAAATCATTAGTATTATCTTAAGCGTATTTTAAAGAAACACCTTCAAAAATATTTTAGGATAAATTCCATGTCAAAATTTCACCAGTAGATGGATAAATTTAAAGATTTGTAATCTTTGCAATACATTCATTATTATCTACATCTTATACAATTAATTTGAATTTTAATGTTTCCTCAGAAAAGTCATTTTTTGCAATAAGTGTAATTTCTTAGCTTTTTAAAGTTTTATCTTAGTTTTTCAATATTAATAATGGAGATTTATAAATTCCATAACTTTATAATGGTCCTTATAATTAAGATACAAAAAGAATTTTGTCATTCTTGGAGAAAAATACAGCTAGATTTAATGGACTTAGCCATTGACCTTATTCATAAAAAACTCTATAAGTGCCAACACTAATTGTTGGAACAACTGCAGAAGAATGATTGTCTGTAAGAATATCTATATTATAGACAGCAACAATAATCTAATTTTATTATCTGTATGGTATAGCTAGTGTTAAATAATTATTCTGAATGGCTAACTTGTTCATAGGAACCCAATCTCCATACCTTACTATGATAGCAGATAAAGCTTTAGTAGTAAGTAGTGTATTATAAGTAGGTTAACCCTTGAATATGAATTTTAATCCATATTGTGAAGCATCAGATGTCAAAATAATGAGATAGACTCTCACTTCGTCTGAACTCCAATCATAAGTTGGTTCCCAAATGAATTAGAATGATAAGAATTTAGTTGTTGATAGAGTGTATTGACCTACTTATTTATTTAAAAAATCATGAAGATTGAGTGTTTCAATTGATAAGAATTAATATTATGGTAAGTCTGAAAATGAAAAATCTATAAAAATGAAACCACTATTAGAATCACTGATTATCAATTTATAAGAGTATTTATGATTCTATTAATATTTTTGTTTTACAACTGAAAAATCAGCTGGTCTAAAATCTTGTAAAGGAGTAGTTAATTTTGAATTAAGATAATTTGTATCAATAACTTCAATGATTTCTAATCTCCAATCATCTAATCCCATAGCAATTCTATAAAGAACTATTTTTCCATCTTAAAATAATTCAGGATTATTGGTATCAGTATGTAAAACAACTAAAAGTTCATTGGATACTACTTGAATTTTTGAAGCTGTTCCAAGTTTGAACTTTTCACCTAATGGAGAACAACCAGTGATAGAAAAACATCCAGTAGCATAAACTGTGAATTCAGTTCCATCATTACACAATGAGTAAACAACCATTTTATCTTCAGAAACAGTAGCTTAATAACATTAATATTAAAAGTTAGGTAAATCAAAATCATAAACAGAAGCTAATGTATTGTCAGGATTTACAAATATTAATCCTGTAGTTGCTTACATAATATTAAAATTTTCATTATATTTGATTTAATCTCTAATTTCATATCCATTAAATATTTTTGGATTGATTAGATCAAAAGTACTTTATAATTCAATATTAGTTTCGCATTAATTACAATCAACTTCAAAATTTCCAATTTAACCAGAATACCAATCTTTACCTAAATCAAAAGTTTTAGAATCATCAGTTGATAATATCTATATACCTGATTATGAAAAAGGGAAGGCATTTTAATCCAATTTAATATTAGTTAAAGAAGAAATGGTATTAACTTATTAAGCGATATCAACTGTATTAAATTTTTCAGGTTTACCTTAGAAATTATAATTTCTGATTTAGAAATCTAATTGATATTTTTATGAATAAACATCTTATTAAATAATAGAATTAATAGTTATAGTTGTTTAATCATAAACTGCAAAAAGTGATTGTTCTCCTTCAACATTTAAGTATAAATAAGTTTAATGTAATCCATTAGCAGCTATTAAAATTGATTTTGAATCAGGAATAACAGTATCAGCAATATCCCAAGCTTATACTAAAGCCTCATGTTGAGGAGTGTTAGGTTTGAATACAATAACAAATGATTTACTGCAATATAAACAGACTCCTCTGACAAACATATGACCAGTTTCTTCACTAAAATCAACATTCAATGGAGTAGATATATCATACCAATATAAATATAAATTCTTTTATAAATACACATGATTTATATCTGCAAAATTGTATTCATAAATTTTAGCATCTTTAACAGTATCAGCTGATTTTCCTTGAACAACAAAAAATGTATCTTATCCTATAGCTATTGAATAATCTAAATTTGGAGTAATTTAAATTGTTTTAATGAATGAAAATAAACCATAATCTGTATCTAAAATTAAAATATGATTATTATGTAGAATGAATACAATATTTGGATGTAATTTTTTATTTGTAAATAATGCTTTTGGTTCCCAATCTTCATTATAACCATATTAAGAAAATGAATTCTTATTTAAAGTTGTGAGTACAAAGAGTTCAGGTCTATAAGTTAAATATGTTAAGATATCATTATTAGCTATGTGAACCAATAGATAATCTCCACAATTTAAAATACTTTAAATCTTATTAGCTGTATCTGTAGGATCTAATTGTATTATTTTAACTGGAGTTATTACACCATCATGTATTGATCGAATAATAATATTGTAATCAGCATGAACATACATGAAATACATTATACCATGTTTGATCCAAATTGAAAAGTTTTATTTATTAATTTTTGTTGTAATTTTTAAATCATCCATAAAAACTTCACAGAATGTAGCATCATTATATATGGAATCATGAACACAACTTAAGATTTTTATTTACAAATTTTCAGTTTATAAAACTTAATAGAATTAAGTATGATCTTCAGATGATACAATCTCTGCATAAATTACATTTGTAGGTTATTCTTAATTTAAAGTTAATTCAACTCTTGATCTAATTGTAGCTGTAATTTCTGTAGCTTCTAATTAAACTGGTTTAAGTAATCTATATTAAAGATTTGGTCCAGAAGCTAATTTTTTCAAAATAGATTGAGTTTAACCTTCTGCAATAGTGTTTGGAAGAGGCATAGGTTAATCAAATAATTAATAAATCCAATTTTCATTATCTTCAATAATTTAATATGAAAGGTAAACTGTGCATTCCTATTTATTTGAAGCTTTGGCCTTTATAGCAACTACTTTCTTTTCTTATACTTTATCACTTCCAGTATATGCCAAATAACCATTAGAAATAGTATATCTAAATGAATTTCTAGTACTAATTTGGATGAAATCTGGTTCTTATGGATTTACCAATAAAACATCAGTTGAAGGTATGTCTAATTTATAATTGAGATAGATTTTATCAGTATCAACATCAAGTTTATAAAAGAAAGCCTATTTATCATTTCTTACAATGATATTATCTTATGATATTTTTATAGTTGCTGGATAATCCAATTATAAAAATGGAAGATCATGGACATATGATTTTTCAGCATCTAAAATAGCAAAGAAATTATATCCAAGAACTGCAACAATACCAAGTTCTGAACCATCCTTTTTATGTTCATAATCAATATCAAAAGCAAATGATCTACCTAATTAAAAGTCAGCTTATGCAAATAATTCCCATTTTCCAGTTGGTTAAAATCTAACTACAAAGAGACCATATTAAGCATCTAATAAGAAAATAAATCCATTAAATGAAATTTCGAAGTCCACAATTGAAAATTCAAAATCAGGTTTTCCTAATAAAAATGCCATAGTAACATTGTCTAAAATATAATTTCTAGGTAAAGGTTAATAATTGTCACTCAATGCATAAACTTAGACAATTGAATTTCCAGAAAGTTATTAATTTGGATCTAATGAATAAGTAGGTGTAACTCTAACAATATAAGTAGTTTCTTTTCCTAATGCACTTGTTGAGTAGAACAAACCTATACGTCTTTAATTATATATTTTGACAGATGCTTCATCATCAAACTATGTTACTTATTTTGTTTATTTTGAGTAAATATAGAATACATCAATTTATTTTTTGATTTATTTTTCTAGTACTTCCTTTTGACAATCTATAATAAATTTATCGTTATCAATGTATTCTACATCATAACATTATAGACTATCTGTCACATTTGCAATTTTCACTTTAGTTTTAAAATCTGGAGTTGGTATTTTATCTAAGGAAGTTCTAATTTCTATATTAACATTATACCCTTCAGAAAAATAAATGGACACATCATTTGCATTTTAATCCAAGAATACAAATGAATTCAACCAAGATTACATTTTTTTTGTATGATATGGTTTTGCTGCTCTGATGTTAGATGCGGCTAATTAAATAATATGTGAATATACTTATTATATGACTTGAGCTGCCTCCTGTATTTGCAACTGGATTAATTATTTTAAAATATGTGTCTTATAAGTCATATGTAAGATCTTCTCCATCAAATAGATTATCATGTAGATTAATTTACAATTTTTCACCTTTTGTTGGAAACAGTTATAATTGCTCCACTTTTGAAGCTAAAAATATAAAGATGTTTTATTACAGCATCCTGTTGACTTGGCATTCACAGTCAAAAGACAAATTAAGAATACTATCAGCGATGATGTAATCTTTTATTTCATTAATTAAATTAATTTATTAAATGGATATAGATTAGGCATTTTAAATTACATTTTTTTTATTATTTTATGTTAATATTTCATACTAATTGACCTTCTTCTTCTTAATTTGGGTCTTTTTATTTATAATAACAAAAACCCATTAAGACTAGACAAACAAGACTACCAAGCACAATTAATACTATCCAAACTGCCCCTAAGCCTTTACTAGAATCATCATCATCATTATTTGGTATTATTTCTAATGCAATTTTATATTCAGCCTTTGAGAAATCATTTTCAAAAGTCAAAGTCAAATTTTAGCTCTTTAAATTTTAAGGCTCCTTTATTTCAATTGAATTATTTTTATTCAATTTATATTTAATTAATCCCTTTTCATTTGGATTACCACTAAAGAAATAGTTTTCCTTAAAAATAAATATAAAATAATTACTGATAATAACATTAAAAAGTTTAATGGACTCAAATCTTCTTATTTAGATACTACATATTTATATCCTCCAGATGTTACTAAATATGGACTATCATTAAGTATTTGATATATGCCCACAGTCACTTATTTTTCTTAATAATAAGCAACTCCTATTGATGAAGAATCAACTGCCAAATAATTGAGAACTTTCCAATCATTATATTTAATGAATGTTCTTATTATATCTGATTATTGATTTTCAAACTTCATTTTATCCTTAATATATTTAAATTTCATCTTAATTTAAAATGAACCTGAATCTGAAGTTAAAATTACTACATCAATTGTTAAGATATCTTTATCAAATGCTTAAGACATTATTTATGTTGATAAAAATAGAGTCTAATCTGTAATTTACTAATTCAACAATTTCTTAAGTGAAATTGAACCTATTCCTGAAGAATAGATATCCTCTTAGAATAATACCAAATTATTAAACATCAATTCATCAATACAATCTGTTACCAATAATAAATATATATAAGTATCTTTAAATATTTCAACTTTAACTCCTGTCATACTTGAAGGTCTATAATTAGTTGCATTATTATTAATATTATTTTTTATGTATTCCAAATTCATTACCATTACTTCTTTTGTTACATGTAAACCATCATTACTTATAATTTGATATATTATATACTCTCCATCCTAATCTTATGGATTTAATGGATTATAAAACAAAACAATAATAAAATTATCATAAGGAGCTAATACCTAATGTCCATTTGGTATTGCAATATAAGAATTAATCAATTTACATTTATTGTTAATACAATTAGTCAACACCAATTCATTCTCAACTCCATTATTACATATAGAATAAAATCTATCTTTATAATTTTCTACTCTAAAACAATTATATTAATCAGGTAGTGTATATTCTGCTGGTACATATGATAGTTCTTCACCCTAATTTGTACCAATTAATAAAGTATTCTTTGCCTGTAAATACACTGTAAATTATTCTGAATTTTTCTTATCCTTAGTATACCCATAATTTATATGATAATCAATTTTTTTAGAACTATTGATTTATTAAATCATAGATTTTAAGATAATATTATCTTTTGTATCATTTTATTTTTTAAGGGTTGTGAAAATATTCTATCCTTAAGCAGATTCAAATGGAAATTCAACTGTATTTGTTGAATTAATCTTAATACTAGAATTTGAATTTTTGACACTCAAAGTTGAAAATGAATTTACAATTCTTACATTTTATTCAAATATAAGTTAATTACTCTATTCATCTTGATTTTTCACAATTACAGCCAACTTTACAAGTTTATAGTAATTTTTATCATCATATTTTGGATCAAATACTAATAATGGAGATTATTCAATTATATCAATTGTTTATTTAAATGCATGATTAATACTAAGTATCATTTAATCATCATCTGCTATAGATATTGTAAATTCAAGAGTATCTTTAAAACCATTTAATAAATATGCTAAATAGAATGTTTCATGTTATGTTAATGATGGTCTAAATATATTTAAATAAACATCTTATGCTTTAATAGTTTTAATTATTAAATTACCAGTTGATAATTAAGATGTAACAATTAATGGCATATCAATAGTATATCCAAATAATTCAACTGTTTTTGATTTGAAAATATTCAATAAGTTTTAATAATTATATTCTAATATTTCTTAATTATTAACTAAAAAGAATGAATCTTTCGCAGCCGAAATATATATTTGATTATATTAAGTATAATCAATTTATTTTATGAATATAAATTCTGATTTGATGTAATTAGTTAAGACAATTTTATCTTCATATTGTATAAATACAATATTTGGTTTTAATATTCTATTACCATATAATTTCAAAGGTTTCCATGATTCATTAAATCCAATTAAATCATTACTATTTATACTATTAACAAAGCTAAATTATTCAATTGTATAACTATGTAACAATCCATTCTTTTACAAAATAAATAGATATTATCCTTAATTTAATATACTTACTATTTATTAACCTTCATCTTGAGGGAATGTTATTTTTTCAACAGATTATTGCCCAAATATAGTAAATTTATAAATATTAATTTCATATTCATTGATTAGAGTTACAAATTTTATAAAAAGAGCTCCGGCATCCCACATAGTGAATAATTAATCATTTAAATCTACTGTAATATCTTTTATAGTAGAAATTTGTTTAAATTCATAAGTATCTGAATCAGAAATAGTAGAATATTGAATAATTAATTCCTTACTTTACAATTAGAATGCTGTGATGATAAAGTTTGATTGCTTTTAGACAATAGAAGCTTAATATATAATATTTTAGGGCTAGCCTTTTGTTTAATATTGTCTCTTCTATATAATTCTAATTTAATCTTATTATTCTTATTCTTAGATTAAATCATTATTATTTTCAGACATTTCATATACTACTTAATATTTTTGATTTGGACCTAAAGTCAATTCTCCCAAATCGATAATAGTGTTTTCATCTACAACAGGTTGGAAAGGTGTTTCTGAATCAGTTTTCTTATAGATTTTTGTATCATCACTCTTAATAATAGAATATTTAATATTTGATTGGCATTATTAATTATTTAATGATTTAGCAATTATTTTTACTTCTCCATCCTTAATTTTACCAGATTTAAATTCATATTTCAAAGCACCTTAACTAAAGAAGAATAAATTTGATTCTTTCTAACCAATAGCTATAAATTCTTCTTTTTTTTTATCAACAGAAAATCCTCCTGTTATTAATTATTTATCTAATAAAGTAATTGATTAATCATTGAAACCATAAATATATACAGCATCATTATGTGGAATAAAAATATTCCTTTAACTTAATGATATTTATTATGGATAAGTTGAAGTGAAATAATCTAAATCTTTTACTTTAATAATTTCTTTATTTTCCAATAAGAAAAAGTAATTGTAACTTAATAATACTATATGTTAAACAATCTATCCTTTTTCATTAATAAAATCATCTATATCAAAAGCTACAAATTATTACAGATTAAAATTAATATGATCTAAGAGTATCCAATCTTTAGTCTTTTCATTGAATTATAATGATATTATTCCTAATTTTTAGTCTAATAAATAGAGAATTGCATCTTCATAGAAATTTTAATAATTAAAAATCTTATAATCAACCAACATAAAATCTATCTTATCTTTTTTCAACAATTTAGCCAATTTAGCATTATCAATTATAGATAATAAGACTATATTTTGACCATCTAAATAGAAGAGTTCTATTAATGAAACATTGCCAACAGAACCATCTTCTGTATTCGAAAAAGCAGGTGTTATTCTCAAATAAAAATTAGAACCTATATAAGGCAATCTATTGAACCATCTCAATTTATTAGTTGTAAACTCTGATTATATTGTAGAAATAGCTTTGATTGTCTTTGCCTTAATTATGTAAATAATTTTTTGTTGATCTAATTAACAATCAATTAAGAAATTATCTGATGATTCTCTATCGACATAATCAAAATCAAAGCATTTTGTTGTTGGTGCTTCTGGATCTACATAAACTACTTCAGAGAAATTAGGTGCTTCATTCTATTGAGCTGCAACTTTTGTGTAATATAAACCATTAGTAGCTGTACTATAGTCTATGAATGCAAAATGACCATTCCATTCACTTAGTATCCATTATGATTTGATTGCTTATACTTTTCCAATTACTAAATATAAAAACTTTATATTATACCTTATGTACAATGTTATGATGAATTAATTTATATGATAGGTTGAATGATAGAAAAATCTTAATTATCTTCAATGCTATATTTCAAACCAACTCCTTCAAATATTCCATTTGATAATTGCCATTACATAATTTCAGTAGTAGAAGGATAAATCTAAATATTGGTTATTTTGGTCTGACATTCATTTAAATCTATTGGTCTGACTTCTAATTTGAATTTAGTCTTTTCAATATTGAAATCATTTTAAAGAATAACTGTAATTGTTTAGTTTTTCAAATCTCCATCCTTATTATTGAAAGTAATCATTGGAGAATCTAATACTGAATAGCTTTTTAATGGACCTTATAATTCACTTGCAAAAAGCAATTTCTCTTATGAAAGATCAAAGAATAAGGCCATATTCAATGGAGATATGTATTATCCTTAAATATATTCTAAGTATGTTCCACTAATAATAGTTGAGGGAATGGAAGCAGATTTCTTATATAGACCTATAAGTAGAGAATTATCATTGAAATAAGGGATGGCAATATAGTTTCCATTTGTAGCAATTTTATTAATGGATGGCCAATTTGAATATCTATTTAATACAAAATCTAATTATTTTGAATCAATTTTAGTAGATAATTAATTAAGTGACTTTTTAAAATTAAATGTAATTCCATAATGTGCTGCATTATTTGTTTAGATCAATAATTAAAATTGAATTGATTATTAAATTACATTATATGTTGGATTTTCAGTTAATCTTATTTATAAAAAGTGAGTATTCTAAAATGCATATTGATTAACTTCATAATTTAAATAATTGTATAAATCGAATGATTCAACAGATTAAAATTAATATCTTAAATTATTCAAAGTAAAATCATAGAATACAATTCCATTCTTTGAATTACTAATTATCATTTTATATACTGTTTAATCTTAATTTGAATATTGTTTAATAACAGTAAAATCACTAGGTCTAAAGTATTCTATAGGTTTTTCTAATTAAGAATTCAAAGTTTATGTTGCAATCACATCTAAAACTTCTAAATTCCAAGTTGTTAATCCCTTCTTCAATTAATAAATAACAATTCTACCATCAATTTCACTATATTAGAAATTATCTGTATGTAAAACAACCATTATATCATTATCTATTAATTATATTTTTGAAGCTTGCTCTAATTTATATTTCTCACCTAATGGAGAACATCCAGTAACTGAAATACATCCAGTGACATAAATGGAAAATTAACCTTTATCTTCACAAAGTGTATAAATAAGAAGTTTATCTGCAGATACTTATGCTTAATAACATCTATAAGTAGGAGATGGTAAATCAAAATGATATGAAGCTAAAAAGGTATTATCAAGTGATGTAAATATTAAACCTTTTGTGGCAACAAAGATATTAGTATTATCATTATATTTGATCAAGTCTCTGATTTCAAATCCATTGAAAAATTTTGGATTATTGATTTCCAAAATATTTTATATTAATACATGATATTCACATTATTCACATTCTAAATCAATTCCAATTAATTAACCAGAGAACCATTAAGTACCTAATTCAACATTTTTTTATTAAACATTAGAATTCATAATCACACCAGATTTAGATAATTCAAATTTAGAATCATCTATTTGAATAGATGATTAAGTATTAATCAATTAAACTTATTGTTATATTTTGATTGTATTAAATGTTTCATCTGGATAATCATAATTAGAAACTATTAGATCCAAATTCATATTTGAATTATACATAGTATTATCCAAATTAACTTTAATTGTCATTACAGAATTTTTAAGTTCTGAAATTAAAGTTGTCTAACCTTTTACATATGTATACAAGAACATTTATTAATCTCCATCTACAGCCATTACAATTTTATCATTATCTGCAATATTTTCATTTGATATACTCCAAGCATCATAAAGACTATCATGTTATAGAGTATCAGGAGTAAATACTAAGATATGTACTTTTTTAGAATATTTACAATAAGCTCTTACAAATAATCTACCATTTTCTTCACTTTAATCAATAGTTAATGGTGAAGTAATTTAATACCAATACAATTAGATAGTCTTGATTTTGAAAATATTATTTAATCTAGAGAAATCATATTCTTCAATAAAACCATCTTTTGCTCCTTAAGTTGATTATCCATAAACAATAAAGAAAGTATCTTCTGCAATAGCCAATTCTACTTCAAGATTATTTTTGAATGCAAATTATTAAAGAAAAGTGAATTTATTATGAAAATCAATAAGTACAATATTATCTTGATTAACAACAAATAAAAGATTAGGATGAAGTTTTCTATTTCCAAATAATCTTTATGGTTTCCAATTTAAGGAATAACCATAAGACTTAAAAGTATTAGCATCAGCTATAGCTAAGAGTTGATTTTCATGATCATAAGTAGAATATGCTAATATTGTATCATCTGCTTTGATAATAAAGAAATAATTGTCAGCAAAGAATAATGATTATATTTTATTCAAAGGATTTGATTTATCATAAGTTAATTATTTAAAGATTTTCTATTCTCCTGCATAATAATATTTCATTATTACACTATAATCAGTATCTCTATACATAAAGAATATATTATTTAAATCATGTCTCCATAAAGTAAATGTTTATTTATTAACAATAACTTTTAAATCTATATCAGATGCAATTTTAAAACAAGTAAATTCTTATTCAAATATTGATATATGTTCACAAAGCCATATTTACATTTTTAAATCATCAGTTTAAATAATCTAATAAAATTATGTCTACTTTTCTAATACTAAAACATCAGCATAAACTACATTGTTAGGCCATACAATAGAATCCTTTTTCAAAATCCATCTCTTATTTATGATACCCTAAATTTAAGTATCTTCCTATTTATTATCACTTAAATGATATTATTGATTTGGACCAGATGCTTAAGATTATAATTATTGATAAGTATCTCCTTCAATCAAAGTTTTAGGAAATGGATGTACACTATTAGCTAATTTATAAATTTATGGATCTCTATCATTTAATATTTAATAAGATATAGTTATTGAACATTTTTATTCATTTGGAGCATTAGCTGTTAATATAATATCCTTTTAAGTTTTAGCTTCTGTACTTCCTACATATTTCAAATAACCCATTGATAATGTATATCTTTTAGATAATAAATTTGATATGACTACTAAATCAGGTAAATAGGGATTCAATAAAATAATATCCTTCTAACTTAAAGTTAATCTAGAATTTAATTGAACATTTTCTGTGTCTATATTATATAAATAAAGTGTATGTTCATTTCTAATAATAACATTTTCTTAAGATAATTTAATATAAGCAGGATACTCTAATTGAATGAATGGTAAATCATATATATATTTGAATTCCATATTTTCAATTTAAATAAAATAATTATATCCCTACACTACAATCACATGTGCTAGTGATTCATCCTCTTTTATGAATGAATTTACACTAAATGCAAAAGCTTATCCTGTTCTTGGATATACAATATTTTGTATTTTCCATTCACCATTAGGTAAATAATTTACTATATATAAACCATTATAGGCATCTAATAAATAAATATCTCCATTTGGTTAAACAGAAAAATCAACCAAAGAAAAACTAACATTAGGAACTCCCAATGTTTCTGCCAATACTGCTCTGTCCAATACAAAATTTGTATTCTAAGGTTCACCAGAAGCAGACATTAAATATACTTCTACTAAAGAGTCTAAAGCTAATTCAGAATCTAAACTAATAGCATATGCTGGTGTCACTCTAAAAAGATATTAATGTGTGACACCAAGTGCATTAGTAATTGTATATTAACCTAAAAACCTTTATTTATAAGTTTAAAAGAAAGCTTTTTCAGTAAACATTTATGTTTTATTTCCATCTTTAGATAGTACAAAGAATATATTTTCTAATATAATTTTTTCTTCTTGAATTACTTACTTTTAACAATCCACAATATATTATTGAGTGTTTGTAAAATCAACATCAAAACATGTTATTTCAGTGTTATTTCTTTTTGTTATAAAGTAACGTTAATTGAAATTAGGAGATGCTCTAATATCTGTACTATTATATATATAGAATTATTATTGTACCCTTCAGCAATATTTAAGTAAACATCTTCTTCAGATTAATCTAGAAATGCAAAGATGTTGAGCCAAAATCCACTTGATGATATTCTAGCTGCTTTGGCTGTAATTATATTTGAAGCAACTTTTAATATAGAATTTTTAATTATTACCATTTTTATGTGAAGTATCTCTTCCAGTTTATTCTATTGGATGTATAATCTAAAATTCTTTCTATTGAGAATCACTTAATGTATATGTTAAATCAGCACCATCAAAAAATTCTGATTTTATTTACCATGTTAAAATCTCATTTGTAGTTGGATAGATTGATATTTTATTTAATTTTGATGCTAATATATATATAATAATGATTATTACTGCAACCATTCTAGGTCATATTTGTATTAACTGTCCATAAGCTCAAAATGAAAATGAGCAAAGAAGATTTCATTTTTAATATAAATATTAATTTAAATCTTTCATCATTTTATAAATGAATCTAATATACTTATAATTTATATTCTAGAATTTTTATTACAACTCTTTTAACTTTTTGTCTATCATTTTAATGTTTATCTTGTATATATATACTAATTAACAAAATGATAATTAATATTTTGTTATTATTACTATATATATATATGCATATGATATTAATCATGCCAATGGAGCAGAATTATTTTCCACTTTATATTGCTCAACTTATTTTATGTAATTAACATAATGTCTCACCTTATTCAACACTGGCAAGGTTTCAGCTGAAATCACATATCCCAAATCTTCTTCAATCTAATTTATTCAATATGTCTTTACTTGCATAGACAATTCAATTGAATCCAAACTATCTAATCCATGCTATTCTAATTCAGAATCTAATGTTAAAGCTGACTAAACATTATTATTATCATTCATTACTTTATTTGTTGTTCTATAATAATTCTTAACCAATGTGAGTACATATCCTTCAATATCTTATTACTTTTTCAATTACACATAATTCTTTGTTATTAATTATCCATCTTTATAAACTTGAATTGGCTTTGCTTATTATTGTTTCCCTTAAGTGGTTGCAGGAGTCTTATCAGCAGCAAAATAAAAGATTGGTCTCATCTACAACAATCTTAATCCTCTTATCATATTATTTAAATAATATATTTGAAAATAAATATTAATGTTTCTCTCCTTCTCTTTTATATATTCACGATCCTCTTTTACATTTCTATCTCTTCATCAATGGCAACAACTTCCTCATCCTTGGCATATCAACATCACTTATATATCTAGTCCTTCTCTTTCTCCTCAAATTTGCTTTTGAACAATTTCGATTCAGATGTCTAGATCCAGGAGACTTAAACTTAAGTCTTCTAGCTCTCCTTGGACCCACAATCTTCACTCTCTTCATTAATCCCTTATGATTTCCAATCTTATATAATCTATTCTAACTCCTAATTCTCTTCTTCCAACTTGAACCTGATGATTTTGTTTTAGATCTAGCCTACCCACTTATACGAGTTTATTTAAATAATCTTGCCAACCCAAAGAATTACATAGGCTTCTAACAAATTTAAATAGGTCTAATAACTGGCATAATTTGCACCATACTTTTTATTGCCTAAGTGGCTAATCTCAACATAAACACTTAATTTTATATAAATATATATAATAAAATCAAAATCTATTTATAAAATTGTGAAACACTTTGAATTATTATTGACACAATCTATAATCATATATCTATAATAATAATAATAATCATAATAATCAGTCTTGAATTTTTTATTTTTTATTCATTTATTATTATTATTATTTCCAATTTTAATTGATCTCTCAATTTATAAATATCATATCTCTAAATTATTCTTTTATTATAATTAGCTACTTATTTTAATTAATTCATCCTTCTTCTTACTAAAATTATTTTGTTATTACTCTTTATGGTAATATCTTAATTAACAACTACTATTATTTAGATTTGTCTTTCGAATATATCACTTGTAATCTCTTTAGTTCCATTTCTTTATATTATTTAATTTAAGTATTTATTATAAAACTACTTTTCCTTTGTTTAGCTTCATAATTTCTATCAATCTTATTCTATTTATTTTCTCAATGTATCTATTTCAAATATTTAATCATTCTTATCTTTATACAATTAAATTCATAGATTTATATTGGATTCATGAAATTAAGTTTTGGTGAATTACAAATCTCAATTAGTTATTAAATAGAATTTATAAACCATTACTTTCTTAAAAGTATGAATTCTATAAGTGAGTAGTACTATATTTAATTATTTTATTCTAATATTCTCTATCCATTATTTTACTTTTATGATTCTTAAAAAGTTTAATAAATTTATAGAAATTCATATTTATTTTTTTTAATAATACAGAACTGTTATTTAATTTGAAAATCTCTATAAACACCATATATTAAATTACTTATTCTTCACTTTAGCATATATCGATGATGATTTGAAATTAAAGATGAAATGATACTTATATTATTTAGAATATAATAAAAATAATTGCTGATAAGTATTATTTAAATAAATAATTATAGAATTACATGGATTGAAGTGAAATACTTTGATTAAAAAATAAGATCTTAATAAATAATATTCATATATAATTTAAATTTTATATATTATTATGATGGATCTTTATTTACATATTTTAATATATCTTAAATTTCTTTGATATTATTATGATATAGATACAGTACACTTTAAATATAGGGATTAAAATTTGAAATAGACAGTTAGTATGATGGATATGAATGAGTTAAGAAAACAAAGATAAATATTTTAAATAATTTCAAATATATATATATTTTATTTATAAAATAAAGGAGGGTCATTAAAATCTTGAGGTATTAAAGCCATTTTTTTGAATGAAGATTATTAAAAATTAATATAAATTACATTTTTCTTAATGTCCGAACCTAAAAAGAAGTTATGGATTGGCAATCTTGCTTACAAAGTAATATGATTATTTAAAAATCCTTAGGTTCAAAAGGATGATTTAGAGGAGCTGTTTAAACAGTATGGTTAAATCACCGAGATTAAAGTGTTGGACAAGGGTCCTCATGTATACGCATTTGTTGAATTTGAAAAGGTAGAAAAAGCGATTGAGGCCTTTAATAGGTAATGGAGTGAAAAATATCTATATATTAGTTTACAAGGTCGTGAGTTGAAAGGGTAAGCAATGAAGATTGAGTATGCAAGTGGAAGGAAGAGGTAATAGTTAATTTAATTAGTTTTTAGGAGTACAAATGATCGTGATAAAGACAGAGGTAGAGGAGGCAATGATAAGTACAGGAAGAGAGATAGTAACTATAAGAGACGTTCCCGAAGTCGAAGCATTGACAGACATAAAAAGAAATCTAAAAGTTTAACTAACTCACTTACTTTACTTCTAATTAGGCCACAAAAGACACTCATCCAGCTCTGAGTCTTCCCGTCGTGACAAATAGTATAACAACAAAAAATAGCCCGTGCGTTCCCCTTCGGATGATCTTTCAAACTGAGTATCATTAATAAAAGAAAAAATATTTTAATACATCAAATTATGATATTACAAAAAATCTTATCTTAATTAATCACTTCTTAGTGAATGTTGTAATTATTGTAGCAACCAAACCCAATAATAATAATATAAATGCAATATCTAGAACAAATTTATTAGGTCTTCTATAAACTTGAGTTAGTTTTTTCAAGGCTTAATTAGCATTATTTAAATTTTTATTAGTTTTATCAACTTCTTTAATTAACTTATTAACTTATCCGTCAGTTTAATCAATTTTCTATACAACAATTAATTCAAATATAAATACCTAACTCATTGATTAAACTTTATAATGCAGTTAATCCAATCCTGATATAATTTCATCTAATTATTTATCCATTTATTCATCATTCAAATTCCATCTTTACATAGCCTCTTATTCCTCTAAACTTAAATGATCCTAATATTCCAATTAATTCTATTGAGAATGTGTACCTCCTTCAAAAACTTAATTCTTTAATTCATTAAGTGTCACTCCTTTAAATTCTTATTCTTCTACTCCAAACTCTTTCATTTTGGTTCCCTTTAAAGCAAACTTTAATACTTTAAATGATGTAACTCTTAACTCCAAATCTTATTAATTATATTTCTATATTAGAAATAAATGAAGATGATTACTTAAGGCTTCTTTAATTATCTTAATAGAGATTTCTCTAATGATTTATATTACTATTCGCATTTTAAAATAGATTCTCTTATTTCTACACCTAAACGAATAGCTTCCTCATCATTTCCATACTTTTGATTTCTCTTATCTCTGTCTTTCTATTTTGCAGAAATCATTTCAATTTCCTCTTTTAAATCATCAATCATTTAATCAAATTCTTTCTAAGGATTCTTTACATTCTTCTTTCTTTCATTACCTCCCAATTTCTCATCCATAGTATACAATCTCTCTAATAAAACTACTATTCTTTAAGATCTCATTAAATTATTAATTATTATACATATGTTAATTTACACAATCTAATCAACCTATTCTTATATTTTAATGTTATCAAACACTAATTTCAAATAACCAATTCATTTAAAATAATAATCAAATGCCAATAGAAAATTAATCTAAAAAAGTATTAGGTAAGTAAATTATAGAAATATACTTTATAATTATATTATTAAATATATTTTGTTATATCCCTTTAAAATAACTAACATTATTTACTTTATATTTTAGAGTATTATATAAAATATTTTTATTAATTACTTTTCTCTCTATATATATATTTGTTATCAAATAGGTTAAGAATTATATAATATAATTTAGACATCTTTGTATATAATAATAAAAATACAAGAGTAATTAATAAAGTATAAATTTAGTTATTTATATATATTTATTCAATCAAATTTCCAAAATGAGTTTGAGTTGGTTGGTGTCTCCTTAATTACATAAAACTACTAATGGCTATTTTATAAATCATGATAATATCATGCTTGGTAATTCAAATAAATAATTATTTAATCAGCTGGCCCTCAAGATAAGAGAAGATTAATATTTTATTATATTGCAAATTAGACACCAGAAAAAATTACAAAAGAAGATCATTAGAAATTTATAAGAGAAAAATTCGTAGATGTAGATGCAAGATCTGGAATATTTTCATTTGGTGGTATTTTCTTGGCTTTAGCAACAATAAGGGAATAATAATTAATAACCTCTAGAATTACTAGTCGCCCAATCTTAAATGGAATATTAGTTTTGGGAATTGGTAATTTGATATAATTTAATACATATAGGATTGGTTTCTGCAGCATTTTCATACAATTTATCATAAATTTTATTTGAACCCCTTTTTGTATAAAGAAATTAGGTGATATCTGATTTGGCTGAGAAATATAACTTTTCAGTGTTTGATTTCGCAATAGCAAAGAAAGAAGCCAGATTGAAACAATTAAGAGCAGAGTTAACAAGTGACAGTAGTAATGCAGCACATTTCTGAATCAATATTACAACATCAATAAAAATATTAATATTATTATGATAATTAAAATTAATCTCAATATCCTTATTAATAAAAAGGTTGACTTATTATATATTATTATAAGTTAATAATATAATTTATAAGAAAATATATGTAGATAATTACATAACTTGATAGTCTTTAAATGTATTGCTTTAATATTTAGACTATCAAGTTATAAAAACATGAGTGATAATTTTGAGAATAAACTTAAATTCATTAATGATAATAAGTTATATTAATTAAGATTATGTATTATATAATAATCATGATAAGAATTTAAATGATTTAAATAATTAAGTGTTTAATAAAATAACATGTATTAATAAATATAATTTAATTAGCTTCGATTATAGTATTTATAAGGCATTATTAAATATTTATTAATATTATTAATATATATTTACAAATGTTGGTTGGAAAGAGAAAGTATTTTGAAGATGAGCCAAATGAAGTACCTTATAAATTTATTAATTTAGACTAAAAATCCTACATTTGCTCTTAGAAGACGTATTACTTAGGATAGAAATTTAGAAACTTTATGTTAAGCACGTAAAAGACTTACTTAGTATATGATTTTAATTTATTTATTTAGATAAAATTTGGCTATTATTTAAGAGAAATACCCTCAGATTCAATAAACTGATATTTTAAGATTATTAGAAGATTTCGACAACAATGTTGAAATGGTATTTGAGATTCTTGGCTAAAAGGCATCTATTCCATAGAAATTCGAGATTGGTGATGCAGATGTATTGATTTAAACATATATATATATAGTTTGATAATTACAAAAAGGCTTTAAAAGAGGAATTATTAAAAAGACTTTAATAATCATAAAATATTCAGTCAGCTTATTAAGTGATTTAATTGTGTTTTGATGCTTTTGAATAAAAATTAGGAGAGAAATTTTAATCTAATGTAAAGTTTTAATTTATAATATAGACTTAGAGATTGGAGGATGAAAATAAATTATTGAAATAAGCATTTTTAAAGTAACACAAGAGATTGGAAAAGATAAGAGTAGAAGCAGAAAATAAAGAGAAATAAAATTAAAATTTAATTAAATCACTCACTGAAGAAAATAAACAATAATAATAAATTAATAATAACCTCACAATATTATTAATATAAGCATAACAAAATAACACTGTTTCAACTATTAATAATATTAACAATGATATATATTGAACAATATTTCTAATTTATTTGTTATAATTATAATTCTTATATGATATAATATATTTATTTCATAATGATTAATAATAATTTTTTGGGAGTTAAAGAGATTAGATAGAAATGCAAATCATTTTTTGAACAATACTCTAATAGATTATAATAATAGATATCTAAATAAACAGATTCCTAATAATATTAATCACTATGTTAATAAGAGGTTAGAAAATTTGAAAAGAATTATATTAAACCAAAACGATCTGTATAATATAATTCTATTCAAACTGAATCAAACTAAATTGATAATTATATCTCTTTTCAAAGAAGATAAAGTACAGAACCTAAAGCTAACTCTAAAAGAAGAAATCATATAATTAAAACTGTATAAAATTTAGAATTAATTAGTTTTGATAGAAAATATTAAGTTAATAGGATTTACATAAATCTTGTGAAATTGATACATTCAATAATCAAGAAATTCCTATAGGAGATATTACAATTTAATATCATTAGAATTCTGAGAATCATAAAACTAATATAATTAATAATAATAAAGAAAATTAAAAAGAGAATAATTTAAGATTACCTATCTTAAAGAAATGTTTATTTTGTAAATTATACAAATATAATAGAATTAGATAAATCAGATAACAAAAATAATTAAACTAAAATATCAAAATTTGGTGAAAGTTTTGTTACACCATTTTTTGGAACTAAAAAACCTATATCTTTAGATAAAAGACCTTGTGAATTTTAAGGGTTAGTATATAAAAGAAAAAAATGATTTTGATTCAATAATTTATTACTAAAATTTTCTCTATTTAAAAGAAAAGAAATAATTTTTATTAGATGATTTAATTAATTAATTCTTCAATGAATAGCATCATTATGTCAAGTAATGGAACTGCTTATGCCTTGAAAACTTAATTAGGTAGTGGCTCATTTGGAACAGTATATCAAGTCTTAGATTTAAAAACTAATAAAAATTATGCCTGCAAAATTGTAATCCAATTTAATAAAAATAATAGATTTCAAAAGCATTATTATATCAATATAATGCAGAATCAATGATAAGACAAGAGATTTAAATATAATCAACATTAAATCATAAAAACATACTCAAAGTCTATCATTCTTTTGAAGACAATCAAAATATTTATATTATTTCTGAATACTGTTCTAAAGGTTCGTTATAATTTCCAAAGACCCCTTATTAAGAAAAAGATGTCTTTAATATCTGTATTTCCTTATTAGGAGCATTGGATTGTTTACATTCAAATAAAATAATCCATCGAGATTTGAAAGTAATATCTTTAATCATATCGTTTAAATTAGTTAGATAATGTGTTTCTTCATGAAGATGGAACTTATAAATTGGGAGATTTTGGTTGGGCAACTTATATCGATAAAGTTGAACCCATTCTTTGTGGAACAACTGAATATATGCCACCAGAAGTTGTGTTAAAATAATAACATGATTATAAAGTTGATTGCTATTCACTTGGAGCATTAATTTATGTAATACATTTTTATCTTATAATAATAGATTTTACTCCATACTCATTTCCCATTTTAAGCAAATTCTTAAACTGATTTAATTGGGAAAATAAAGAATCAAGAGATTGTTGTTAATAGTAATTTAAATGAGGATTTATAAATTCTAATTCAAGCATTATTAACTAAAAATCCTATTGATAGACCTACAGTTTAATAATTGTATTTGAGTAAATGGATAAAAAAATAAATGAAGTTAAATAATATTTTTAATAAATATGAAAATGAATAACTCAAAAATAAATTCAGATAAAAAAATATTACAATAAAAACTTTAGATGTGAAGTAAATAATTATTTTAATTTTAAATAGTGGATCAGTAAAAACTAGTCTATCTGATAGTCAAAAAAACTCATTAACTCATAGTTCTAGTACTTAAATAAGTTCTTCCAATAATATTTACTCACCTGTTGCTAATAGGGGCAACATTGATTAGATATTTAATTTCAAAGATTTTGATAATATCAACTCTGTTCCATAACCAAAACTTTACTGATACTAAAATCTAACTAAATGAATAGATTTGTAAATAAATATATTTGTATGTTTTTTCAATATATTAAATTTTCTTTAATCAATATTTAAATATTTTAATTGCTTATAAAATTCATATAACATTTCAAATAAATATATAGAGTTCTTAATTTATATATAAATTATAAGTAACTTTGTTGCATTATATTATCTATAATAAGATGAACATTCTTTAATTTGTATTATTTTGACATAAACCCATATACTTTGTTTGATTATTATCAAATATTATGTTATTATTTATAATAATGACAGAACAATATATTTTTGATTCAGAAATTGTGGAAGATGAAGTAGATCGTCCAGTCTCTGTTTATAACCTAAATGTTTGTTTCAAGGAGGACATTGATTTTAGACTATAAGATTGTTAATTGAATGAACCTGATATTTAAGATTTAGAGTAAAAAATGAATAATCTAATTTATAATTCTTGTGGTTTTAAAAAAGGATTGATAAAACATAACAAATAATAAAAATAACAATCAGCAATAGACTTAACAGATAATAGAACTAAGAATGAATAACTATCTTTTAAAAAGCCTATTTAACCTATTTAATAATTATCCATTGTTTCTAATGGAGATCAATCCTCATTATTTTCAAGAAAAGAAACAGTTCCAAAAATTAATTTTGTAGGTGAAATGAAAGATAGTGTAAACCAAAATACAACAGTAGATTTTAGAAAGAGTCTAAAACTACATACACATGGACCATTTGATATAACTAAATTAAAAGATGGGTTATCGCCTGCTGTAAATAATCAATTTTCTTCAAAAAAGCAATCCCAATTCTCATAAAGATCACATGAAAGTTACAATTCATATTTAGAATTATCTTACAATTAAACTTAACAGAGACCTAAATAAAATTCAATCAATAATTTAGATAAAAGAAAAGAGAGATCAAAAATTGCAAAGACAACTATTAAATTGATTTCAAATTAACAAAATTAGAAACTGAGAATTTCATAATAAGCTAATTCATAAAGAACATCTCAGTTATCTTTATTATAATTAGAATAAGATGGTATAAGAGGTAGATCATAAAGTTCAGTTTCAACACCAAAAAGTATTTTAAAAAATCCTTCATTATAAAACTCTTAATTAGAAATTGTAAGCAGATTAAGTTTCTAAAGTAGGCTTAGTTTTTCAAGTTTAAATATTACTTGTTAATCTCCTAAAAAATAACAAGCAAATTCTTAATCTCCTGCAAAAAAAGTTAAATTTTGTTTAACTAAAAAGTAAGCAAGAAGAGAAAACATTCCATGTTGAAAATTGTAATTGATTATAGTAAAGTAAGAGTATTACTGTATTTTAAATTGTATTTATATAATAATTAAAAATATCTAATTACAAAACAACATCAAAAATAAACATCAAAATCTTATATTAATCTATCATCAATCTTACTTTCCTTTACTTTATTAACAATTCCACTTATTTCAATCATTTTTAATACTGCTTAAAATGGTAAAATTAATTCATTATTAACATCTTAAGTATCACATAACTTATGTATAATATTAAGTAATGCTTTTAAAGTATGTTCTTCTATTTTTATAGATCGTGTTTCCATTGAAAATAAATTATTACATATATTAAACAATCCTATTTTTATTAATTTTGATATTTATTCTTCATTACACTTAATATAATATATGATTAATACCAAAATAGAGAAATTTAAAATCACATAAGAGAATTCAAGAGCTTCATTATCTGAGAATTCAAAACTTTATCCAAAAATCTAATCCAATAATTAAGAATCTAATAATCTAAGCATAAATTCCTTATTATGAATTTTATTTGAAATAGCCCAAAATAATTAGATTCTTAAAGCTCTATTAAGGTCTTGTGATTGAAGATTAGAGTTTATTACTTTCTTATAAATAACAAGTTCCTTTTCATAAAATTATTCACTAATTCCAAAATATATAAGCACAACTTTTAAAGATAAAAAATCATAATTTGTTCTTAAAGCTGTATCATATAATTTTAAGAACATTGGAGATGAGAGTATTTCATCTGCATAAGTATAATTATTTTCAAATGATAATTTTGAAGGAATTTCCTCAAGAATTTCCAATGCTAATCTTCTTATAGCTTAACTTTCATCAAAGTAAGACTTTATTACATATTCTTTAATTGATTTAATTTTCTCAATGTTTATTTCCAAACTAAAAGTAAAAGCTGAACCTATTAAAGCTAAAATAACTTCAGAAAATTGTCTATAAGGATCAAGTACCATTAATTAAGTTAAAAATTCAAAATCATTTTATATTAAGAAATCTCTATATGTCTATTTTTCTTAAGCTAAAAAATATATACAATTTAAAGTCTAATATGATTTTAAACACTTACTTATGGAAATATTTCAAATAACTCTTCTTTTATATTATTTTACAAGTATTACAATAATAAGATATCATCTAATTCTGCAAATTTTTAATAATCCTCTCTGTTTAAATAATAAAAAACACTTTAAATTAAAGTAGCATTAATTTCTTGAAATTCACTATCCCTTTTAGATAGATTAATAAGAAATCTGACATTATGTAATTTATTACCTAAATTTTTTTACTATATTTTCAGTCACCCAATAATCAACATTTTATTCATCTTCTAAGGCTTTTTATAGTACTTTTAGTAATAACTTAATATTATTAAGGTCTTCCTCAATTAACTACTCTTAAAATTAGTAATGAACTAATTCATCACAAATTTTATGTAGAAAATCATTTTTTGTTTATTCATATTTATAGAACCTTCTTTTTTTTTTAAATTCCTCTGTTAATTTTTAATGTCTTATTTAGATTCTAAATTTTTCTCTTTTCATTGTTAATAAATCATTTGATTCACTTTAATTCATTTTAAATTTAAAATTATATTATATTATTTATAATCAACATATAGGTAGAATTGTATGTGAACCCATTTTACTAGCAGATCTAGGAGTTATTGTTGATAAAATTGCTGTCATTCTCTTTTGATTTGGATTATTTCTGGGTACTTCTAATAAAGATTTTAATGAATTAACTTTTTTTGAATTACTAATTTAATCTGTTGTATGGGCTAAACTATCATTTTTTAATATTAGTTTTTCAAATAAAAAATTGTTTCTATTTTAATTATTATTAATATATTACTTAATAGTATTATTTTAAGATGATCTTCTTGTTGAAAATGGTTTTGATTAGATTAAACTTTCTTTCTCATCCATCATTTATTTAATAGTTTCTTTAGTATTAATATTTATTTCTCTAATCAATTGATCTTCATCTTATGTCTTATGATGACTACTCATATCTTTACTAAATTCTTTATTAGTAATAACTGATTCTATTCTTACAGTTTTATTTTATCGATGTATATTATGAACTTTTTAAAATATATTTGGTTATGATGAAAAATTTACTTTTCTTTATTTATTATATTATTCTAATAATTGAGATTATTCAGTTTTTGTTTTAATTTAAAGTTGTATACTTAATAATTATTATAATTGATTTATGCTTTTAGCTTATTATTTCCTTTGTCTCTTTCTAGATTCTCTTGTTTCATGTTCAAAAGGACCTTTATTCAAATTAATACAACCAAACATTTTTTTAAATTCTAAATATAATGTTTAACTATTTACAAATCTATTGTTTTGATTATTTCAATTTTTTATCAAATGAAATTGTATCAATTTGTTATTATGCTAAATCTTAATTATGTTATTCTGCTAAATTCTCTAATTCTTATAATTTAACTGATTTTTCTATTGCATTTCCATAATACATTTATAATGTAATATCTTCTTTATTTAATTATTTCTTCTTTTTCTTATTTATCTATTAAATATTAATTAATTGTTATGAGAATCCTTCTGATTCTGTTTAAAATCTAGTAGATAATCCATTATCTGAATATTTAGTTTTCATTAATGCAGATTTGCACATGGTTGTAGATTCATTTTCATTTGTTTACTATTTATAAATCATTTAAACACTAGCATTAGTTTTAAGAGTTTTTTATTTCTCTAAATAAGTTTCACTATCTATTGTTTCATTACTATATGGAATTTATGATTTATCATAATAATAATATTATTTTCTGATTTTTGGAAAGTCACTGAATTCATAAAGCAAATTATTATAATAATTTAATTAATCTTCTCCTCCAGGTACTTTAGATGTTTCTTCTTCTGGTAAAGCTTACTTTAATACTTTTGATATTTCAGCTTTTTCTAATGCATATTCTAAATATCTTGTATTATCCACATATTATTAGAAATATAACTTTCCTATTGAATCTTCTGGTTAATAATTTGAATCAACCCAAGTCATCATTTTAATGGTTTCTTGATATTTTAAAAAATCATTTAATTATTCATAAACTAATGCTATTAAAAACAATGATAATATGATCTCCTTAGTCTATTGATATTATTATCATTATTAATTACATAATAATTAAGAGTCATCTTTATTTCTTCTAAAGATGTAAGTGTGATTTCCTTATAAATTATAATTAAATTCCTTTGGTAGAAATCTAATCCTTTAAGATAATATTTCAAAGCAATTTAATAGTTTTACAATTGAAAGTAACTATTTCCAGTAATCAAATGATATTTTCTAATTTATTTGAACATTATCTTACCCTTACAAACTTAAGAAAAACGTTATTTTATCAATCAATGCTTATTCAATTATTGTACCATTAAAATGATGAAAATACAATAGACCTTTGGCTACCATTTAATTTTTTTGATAATATTAAGATCTAAATAGTAATGCCTTAATCATTATAGATATCAGTTCTTGTGTGTAAAACTTTTCTAATTAAGAATTTCAATATTACTTACTCTTATACTAGATCTTCAAGAGTGAAATGTTATCATGGAAATCTCTCATATAGAGTAAGAATCTTGTCCAAAGAGTGAACTAATTTTTGCCTTAATTAATTTCAGCCTTGTTGATTTTGAGTTTGAAATACATTAATGTACAATAACATAATCTTCTCAAAACTTTTATTCTTAACAGTAAAGGTGAATCAATTGGTAACAGTTTTTTATATTGGCCATCCAAATGTATAATACATTTACGATAATATCCCTAAATTAGAGATCACTTACATTTCTTATCAAAGTATTAGAATCAACCAAAAATTATTCAACTTAGTTGATTAAATATGGATTTTATGGTAATGATGATGAAACCTTTATTTATAACATATATATATATATATAAATTTATAATAGTATTGTATAAAAAATATATATATATATATACCATTTTTACCTATTAACATTATCATTAATCTACTCTTGGAACTTCTATTGCATCTACATAATTATATTTTTTAAATTCTCCTATAACTGCTTTTACAGATGTTGCTGGTATCAATCCAACTTCTGTTACTATCTAATAAATAATATATTATCACTTATACCATATTAATATAATTAGATTATGTTATATCATATCTAAGACTTAAAGAAGTATATTATTAATTTTCATTTCCATATTCTAATTATGCTATTTCATTCCATGATAATGAATCAATCTGACTCTTTTCTGAGAATTTGTAACTTTCACAAAATACTAAAAATGGTATTTTATGAGTTGATGCTAAACATGCTAATAAAGCAGTTCCTACTCTAGATACCAAGGCTCCATTACATAACATAGATGATGCTCCTACTAAAATTTTATCAACCTAAATAATATTTAATTAATTCTACTTTAGATAGAATGTAGCTGACATGAGATAATAATATTTAATAACAAGAGATTCCTTATTATAATAATCGATTCACCAATTATGATCCTTCTCCAAATTATGGATTATCAACAACAAAGATTGTCAATTATTTACCTTACTTAAAATAATTAATAATGAAATTCTCAATCAAATAGGATCTAGCATATACTAAAATTGTTGTTCCTTCTTAAATCAATTAAGTAGCCTTTTAAATAGGTATTTTAAATAAAATACATTTTTAATAATTAATTCTGATGCTGAGATAATTTTAGATTAAATGAATTAATCAATTTGATTACATAACCAAATTTTTGATTCATTTTCATCAAGTTTTGTTTTTCTTAAAATCATTAAACACTCACTTATAAATAAATATGATGTGCTCATTCCTTCATTTACTGTTCTAAAGTTTTCCATTAAATTAAAGATATTCTTTAATTCAGTCAAAAATGCCATAGCAAAGTAATTTGATTGTTTTGGTAACTTATAATCCTTAATAAATTATTTTAAAGCATTTAAAAATTCTACACATCTATGAGTAGATCCTATACATTATCCATTTTGATATTAAATGCAAAGTTCTATAAAAGAATGATGTAATGTTTAAGGCTAAAATAAAAAACAATAATATACATCTATTTATTTTACAGTTTTTATACTTACAGAATTATAATCTTAAAATATTGGAAGATGTGAAAGAAAATCTTTTCTCTTATTTGATGTATCTGTCTAAACAATTTATTTATCATTAATAGGCTACAATTATTGTGGTGGTTATTATTCAATAGATTATTTACTTTATTATTATTGTTATTATTATNTACCATTTTTACCTATTAACATTATCATTAATCTACTCTTGGAACTTCTATTGCATCTACATAATTATATTTTTTAAATTCTCCTATAACTGCTTTTACAGATGTTGCTGGTATCAATCCAACTTCTGTTACTATCTAATAAATAATATATTATCACTTATACCATATTAATATAATTAGATTATGTTATATCATATCTAAGACTTAAAGAAGTATATTATTAATTTTCATTTCCATATTCTAATTATGCTATTTCATTCCATGATAATGAATCAATCTGACTCTTTTCTGAGAATTTGTAACTTTCACAAAATACTAAAAATGGTATTTTATGAGTTGATGCTAAACATGCTAATAAAGCAGTTCCTACTCTAGATACCAAGGCTCCATTACATAACATAGATGATGCTCCTACTAAAATTTTATCAACCTAAATAATATTTAATTAATTCTACTTTAGATAGAATGTAGCTGACATGAGATAATAATATTTAATAACAAGAGATTCCTTATTATAATAATCGATTCACCAATTATGATCCTTCTCCAAATTATGGATTATCAACAACAAAGATTGTCAATTATTTACCTTACTTAAAATAATTAATAATGAAATTCTCAATCAAATAGGATCTAGCATATACTAAAATTGTTGTTCCTTCTTAAATCAATTAAGTAGCCTTTTAAATAGGTATTTTAAATAAAATACATTTTTAATAATTAATTCTGATGCTGAGATAATTTTAGATTAAATGAATTAATCAATTTGATTACATAACCAAATTTTTGATTCATTTTCATCAAGTTTTGTTTTTCTTAAAATCATTAAACACTCACTTATAAATAAATATGATGTGCTCATTCCTTCATTTACTGTTCTAAAGTTTTCCATTAAATTAAAGATATTCTTTAATTCAGTCAAAAATGCCATAGCAAAGTAATTTGATTGTTTTGGTAACTTATAATCCTTAATAAATTATTTTAAAGCATTTAAAAATTCTACACATCTATGAGTAGATCCTATACATTATCCATTTTGATATTAAATGCAAAGTTCTATAAAAGAATGATGTAATGTTTAAGGCTAAAATAAAAAACAATAATATACATCTATTTATTTTACAGTTTTTATACTTACAGAATTATAATCTTAAAATATTGGAAGATGTGAAAGAAAATCTTTTCTCTTATTTGATGTATCTGTCTAAACAATTTATTTATCATTAATAGGCTACAATTATTGTGGTGGTTATTATTCAATAGATTATTTACTTTATTATTATTGTTATTATTATTATTATTATTATTATTATTATTATTATTATTATGCTGTCTTATTTGATTCTTACTTTGTTTCAGCTTAATCTTATTCCTATTTTAGCTTCTCTTTATTTGCTTTCTTATCAAATTTTTCTTTAGGTTTCCAAGGCTCTCCTTTCTTGGGATTTGGTTTTTCAGACATTAATTCTTTAATATTTATTATAATAATTAAAAAATATAAATATGGACATCGAAAATTATGATGATTGGGATCCTGATCCTCATAAATAAGATAGCATTCTCCATTTTTCAAATATTAATTTTTCTGGTATTGTATAATATTATGTCTTAGATAATGTGATTAAGAGAAACAAAAAAAAGTTAGAGAATTAAGTTTATGATTCATAACATGTTATTGATTATGCATAATAAAATTGGATTGATGATGATGAAGATGAAGAAATGAAAAATAATACATAAATAGAATTTGATTTTGAATAAACTAAAAAATAATTAATGATGGAACAAGTATTTTATAATCCATTAGAGGATTTATTAAATGAAAAATATGTTTAATCAAAATATGAAACTCATTTAAAAAATAGCGAAAATAATACTGTGATTAGTTGTTCAAATTGTTTTATTTAAATTAGTTATCATTGTCAATAACATGAAATTTATAAAAAATAATATAGAGCAATGGTAACAATTAATACAAAAATCATAGAAAATAAATTTGTCAAACCATTAGAAAATGAAAAAGTGAAAAATGATGATATATTGTTATCAGTCTAATGTAAAATGTGTCAAGAAGAAATTGGAGTATACGATGTTAAAGCCAAAATATATCACTTCTTTAATGTAATTTAAGGTTTAGGTTGATTTATTTTTAATATTTCATAAATATTATAAATATAATATTAGATTTTATATTGTTCATAACTAAATTCTCATAGAATCATATAGATTTATAATTGATTTTGAAATAACCTAATGTGGTTGTCTATTAAATCTATATAATACTACTTCTTATTAGAGTATTAGTTCAATTTTAATTAATTATATTTTTATTTTATAAAAAACCTACAAATAATAGACTTAGAGAATTTTATTTAATAGAGAATTTAAAAATTTCTATTAAAAAAATTATTTTAATGGATAATCCTCTTACCTTTGTTTGCATTAGCGATACACACTCATAATATATTGATTTACCTTAAGGTGATGTATTTATTCATTGTGGGGATTTCTCAACACATGGAGAATATTTTGAAGTACTTCAATTCATAGATTGGCTAAAATAATTACCTTTTAAATATAAGGTTGTGATAGGAGGAAACCATGATATTTTTCTAGACACTGAAAAATATGAAAAATTACTTAAAAATAGATTCCACAAAAATAAATAATAAGATCACAAGAAATTGTAATAAGAATTAAAGTAGAATTGTATATACTTGGAGAATTCTTCTGTAGTTATAGAAGGGTATAAGATTTGGGGGAGCCCATATTCTCCAACAATACCTTTAAATCCTTGGGCATTTTAAGTTGAACCTGAAGATGGAGAAGAATTTTGGAAAATAATGGAGGAAGGATCTGATATTGTTTTAACTCATGGAGCCCCATTAGGTCATAGTTCATACGTTCATACTTATAGACCAACTGAGGGAGAATGGGGAGATGAAGCATTAGCAAAAAGAATTAAAGAAGTTAAGCCACTTTATCATATTTTTGGACATGTGCATGAAGGATATGGAATGACAGAAGAAGATGGTATTAAGTATGTTAATTGTGCAATTCTTGATGAATAATATGAATTGGCTGAAAAAGCCTATGTTTTTCAATTACCTAGAAGGGTTGTATAAGAGAAAGAAGGCTTAGAATAAAGTTGATGAATAATCATATATAGGAAAATAAATAAAATATGTTTTATTAATGCAAAATATTATAATTGCATAATTTTCAATAATGAAGGTGATTATTTATCAATATCAATTTTCTTAATAAATTCATTATATTAATTTTTTACACAAGGATAGATTAGAATATGATGTACAAAATATTTATTATAGTAATCTATTGAAATCCGCAAACATTAATTATAAAAACTTAATTGTTATGTTTCTCCTATTTTAAGCTAAGTTTTAAAATTATATTTAGCAAGGAAACTGATAATAATCAACATAACTTGATAAAATTTTTATTTTTTATATTGATCATAATCGAAGATTATATTTATAAATTAATATTGATATTTGATGGGTACATAATTATCATATTAGAATCACTTTTTGCTGATTTTATTTTACTATTCTTTTGGTTGATTTGATTTTACAGTTACTTAATTACTTTTTGTACTTTGAACTTTAGGAACTGGCTTAATAGTATTTTATTTGATTTAAGGAGATTAAACAATTTGTTATTTTTAATCTTGTATTGGTTTCTATATTTGCTTAGTTGGTTGACTTTTTTATTAAATTTAAAGAGGCTTTTCAATTTTTTATTTAGGAAGTAATTATTGTTTCTAAGTATTTTTGGTTTATTTGACCTTAGATTAGTTAAGTTACATTATAGCCCATCCTAATTGAGGTTTCAAAAATTCATTATCAACTAGGGTAATCCCAAAATATCCTGAAGAAAATTAAATTGGTATTTCTTGACGGCGCCATTCAAGAGTTACAGGTGCCTTAGATACTCCTGAAGGGAATTATTCTGGATATATTTGTTAAAACTTATCCCAAGTTTTAGAAAATTCATTTTTAACAAAAGGTTCTTTATCATTAATACTTGCATTTTCATTTACTTTATAAGGGAAAAAGTAGGTAATCCATCCAGTAGCAAATCCTGGTCTTATATCATATATTTTTGGATCTGGATGTTAAAATCTATAAATATTATTCCAAAAAACTTTATCAACATTGCCTTAATATAAATTAATAAATTAATCTAATATTGGCACAATTTCATTTATCCACCAATCTAATTCAAATTCTCTAAGTGGTTCTACATTTTATCTTAATTATTGCCAATCTTCTAATGTACCTTGAAGTTTAATTTTAGAAATTCCACATCCGGCTCCAACTACATATTTAAAATATTTTTGCATTGTATCCATTAAACTTACTTCATAACAAACTTTAGCTACATCATTAGTAGTGGAATACTGTTGTACACATAGCTCATATCTTTTTTAACCTATTTAATCCTTTATCATTTGAGAAAATTTCTTAGGAAATTCTTCCCATTTATAATCTTCTATTCGATCTAGATCTTCAACGATTATTTTCAATATTTCTTATCCTTAGAAGTTTACAAATTTGTTTCTAAATTTCTCTGCATTAAGTTTGATGTGGGTACAAAATCCTTAAGTTATGAGCAGTTAGATATCATCAGGACTAAAACATAATGGGAAATGATGATAATAAGATATGTGAAGTGTATTCACAAATTGATTAGTGAACATCAATTTCTCTTTCTACACTTAGTATAACTTCATGTTGTCGGTAAAACTATGTTTGAATAAAATATTTTTTTTGACAACTTTTTCATTTAGTTCCTACATCTGATTTAGTTGAATTAATTCATTGTAATCTTAATTTAAGTCTCCATCTATTATTTGGACTGATCCATTTTGATTATTTTTAATCAAAGTTTCTTTTTAAATATTCATATCCATTTCTTGTTTATTAATATTTCAAAAAAGTTAACTTAATTCATTATAAATATCCAAATCTGATTAAAACTGATCGTTATATAATTTTTATTTCATATAAACATAAAGTGAATATATACATCTTATTGAATTATATAAATCTTTAATATCTAATTAAGAACACTATATTATGTGTTATTATATTCAATTAAAAAGAAAACTTATTATTTTTAACAAAAGAAAATTTAATTATAAAAATTTGAAAGTTGATTTTCATAAAAATTAGTTGAAATTATAGAATAATTAAATAAGCCTTCAGGAAAAATATATGCATTAAGTGTAAATCATTTTTTGGTTGCAACTAACTCTGGTGGTATTTATGTTTTCTAACATAAACTAATAACTGAATTTCAAGATAACAAATGATAAACTATTGTATTGTACATTAATCATATTTATGACTGTTTCTTATTTCTATTTCAAATAAAATTCATATAAATATTTAATTAGGCACAATAGTGAATATATATTACTATTCAGGCCAAAAAAATATTTAAGTTATAGCAAAAACTATAAAATACTTATTGAATAAAAGATAAGGTACAATTACTAATGATGGATAATTCTTAATATTTTTTAATGGCTATCAATTTTAAAAAATGGAAGTTCTAATGGATGTTATTAAATATATCTACTATATAACTGATTCAATTATTATTGAAGTAGTAGTATGAAGTGAAATAAAAAAGAGGGTTAAATTTTTGATTTAGATTATCAATATTTAGAACAGACATATTAAAATCTACAATTAATTATATTATCAAAATAATAATAACTAAAATAATTTTTTTTATTTAATCCTCATAAAGGATGTAAGTTCAATAGTTGATTTAATTGATTAAACAAGCTTTTGAGTCTTTCCAAAAATAAATTTACATACAAAAAATAACTAATAAATTTTTATTTAAGTAATACAATTTTACGATTTAATTATATCAAAATATAAATTAGTGTTATAATATTTAATTTAATCATTTTTGCTTGAATAATAATAAAATATATAAAAAATGCTGAATCTAATAAACTTAATTTAATAATATCATTAAATAACAGCTGAATTCTTTTTATAGATTGGATAAGTTACATCCTAATGAACACCACATTGTCCAACTTTATCTGCTATTCTGGCAAATCTAATAAATCCAGCTTCTCCCCAAGAAAGTCCCCATGAATTTTTAAGTAAATAATAATCTGATGCATATCCAACATTAACAATTGCATGATTAAGTGATTCAACTTTTCCATCACATACTGATGAAAAGATACCCTTTCTATATAATTAGAAATTAATTCCTCTTGCATTGACACCAACAGAAAGAGCATGTTGAGATGCAGCTTCAAGATAAGCTTAAGAATTAAGTGATTCAACTTCAACATAACCATTGAATTAATATCTAGTTTTAGTCTTTTTAGATTAACACTCTTAAGCTACAGCAACATAAGTGTATTCTGATTTGATAGCAATTCCATACTTTGAGGCATAATCAAAACTTTCAAACATAAAACCTCCATTACAACCGTCACTGTCATATTCTCCTCCTTTTACACAATCAACAAGTTCTTATTCAGATAATTCCACAGTTGTTGCTCCACTCTATCTCAAAGCAGTTTCCAAAGCACCTACAGCAGAAAATGCCCAACATGATCCACAACTTCCTTAATTTTAAACTGGACCTACAAGACCATCATTTCTTAAGTCAACACTATCTGGAATTTATCTACCTTCTCCTCTAAAGATTTAATCAGATTAATATTTATTAGATGCTTTGAAGTTTAAGTATTTAGCTTCAAACTCTTCAACAGAGATATCAGCAAAATTGTTCATACCAAGTTCATATGTTTCTAATCCAGCTTCAAATCTTTTTTTATGTTCTTAAACATAAGCATAATTTTGTTTAAATATTCCAAATCTGTGTGTATTTTCAAATGTAGAGTATCTTTTTCCATGTTCCTATTACCACATTTAGTATTCCTTCATTAATTTGTCCTCCAAAAAGGATGTTGATTCTATATTTTAAGAATTATTCAATAAGGTTGTACCAGCTAGCAATGCTAAGGCTAATATTGTTAATAAACCTTTTTACATTAATATTGATATCAATTCATTAAGATAAATGAGCTTATCAATTAAATAATGAGATCAATATATAATTGCAATCACGTCACAATTATTTAAAAAATTTAAATAATTTTAAATTATAGTATTGATTTCAATCTATGATGTAATTTATTCATAAACGATTACATAAACATTTAATTAATATAAATAACTATTTAATAAATAATTTGATTATTCTATATGTTAACAAACTTAAAGAAATTCAATATCAAACTACTCTTATACTTATTACACCTTAAACTATTTATTAATAATTGAGAGTATTAGACATAGTCTCACTCTCTATTTAAATAAATTTCTAAAAGAGACATTCCTAAAATAATGCTGATTCTTTAGTTTTACTTTTAACTCTAAAAATGGAAATCAGAATACAATTTAATAAGGTAAATAATTATTCTAGAGGAACTTCAATAGAAATATTGTCAAACTCATTCATTTTTATAATTTATTTACTCTATAATAATATAGTTTATATCATCCAAACAAAAATACAATATAGAAGAATTAATCATTCTAATCTCTTCATAATTTTAATATGCTTTAATTAATTTATTAATTTTTATTTCTCTTTGATATATATTTACAATTTTTATTTTAACTTTTTTTTTTGACTTCTTCAGATCCATAATAATCCTTAAATTCTCACCCAATAAAGATTGTAATATATTGCTTATTCCTAGTATTCCATTGAATATGAATAACACACAACTATGTATGATCTCTTAAAATCCTTTATAGAAATTGGATTTGTTCTTTCTATTTTGTTATAGCATAACCTCTCATAGTTTTTAGTTCCCTTCTAAAGTTATTTGTACATCTCTTGGATGTAATTAAAAAGCAGCTAGATAATTCATTAAGCTTCCTCTGTTTTCTACAAAATTTTTATTGATCATATATTTATATAATAATCTATTTTTGATCTAATTATTATCAATTCAAATATTAGTTAGATTTTAAAAGTTAAATCCTTTACGACATTCTAATTTGGATTCATTTATGATAAAAAAGAGCTTAATTAACTTTTGTGAATGGATTTTAACTGTTAATCATTTATTTTTTAAAGTATTTAATTGTTTATCACCAAATCTTTACAATTAAAAGTTGATAGAATTTAATTATACTCTAATTTAAACATATTGATAATAATCTTAGATAATTCAAAAATCTAATATCAATTTATAAATCTAAAGCTGATTAAATAAATAATGAGTTTATGAATTAAATAAACTTATGTATGAAAATAATCAAAATTAAAAAATAAATAAAATATTTTTATAATTTGTTTTTATGTTTTATGAATAAATATTTAATTAATTAAAGGAATCAAATCATTTATAGCTTAATTCAATAACTAAATATTTTCCATTACTTTTATTTTTATTCTAATATAAGCAATCCCAAAAAACCAAATATCTTCCATCATTTGATAAAGCCCCATAACTATTTTCATCCTAACATGGCAATTTGGCAATAATTACAAACTTTCCTTTCAAAGATTATCTTAATAGATAAATAATTTATTTATGTCTAACAATAAGCAAATTCTTCTCCCTATTATATTGAATTGGAAATGAAATATAGTCACAATTTGGATCACCATCTAGATGAATTGTCTTTTCTTTATTTTCCATAAAAACTCCTTCTTTAGATTCATAGAACCAAATGGAATTTTTTTCTAAATTATTATTAGCTGTAACCCATATTAATTATTCATCATTTAAAAAAAGAAGTTTTTTACCAAAATCTTAAATTGATTGAGTAACAATCTAATTAAATTACCATTTTTTAAATTAATCTCTTTTCCAAATAATTACTTATTAATCCCGACCACAAGAGGCTAATAGATTTTCTGATTAATTTAAACTTACAGAGTACACCTCATTTTAGTGTTTAGATAATGTTTATTATAATTGTAATCCATTTACACTTTAATCAAATTTCCATATTTTAATAGATTTATCTTTGCTTGATGATATAAGCTCATCTCCCAATTAATTTAATATCATACAATGAATTTTACCACTATGCTCTTTGAATGTAGATTAGGATATTAATTAATTTTGTTCATTTAAATTCCAACACCTTAAAGTGTTATCATAAGATCCTGAAATTATGCAATTTGATTAAGGAGTGAATAATAAACATGTTACATTATTTAAATGACCCTTCAATTATTAGATTAATTAAAGTTTGCCTTAATTAAAGCTCCAAAGTTTTATATCTTTGTTAGAAGTTGATATCATTCTTTATCCTTTTTTATCAAATTAAATTGCATAACACCATTCATCTTGATTCTCAAACTTATTCATGTATTTAATTTCTACTTTAGGAGTAATTTAATCTAAATGAAAAGCTGATATTTCCTCATTTTAGAAGCATTCAAAAATACTATAAGTTGCTTAAAATAATTTTGAAGTTTCCATAAGTTCATTAAGTCCATGTGCTAATTTTGGTTAATAATTTGAAATCAGAAATGTTAGTTCCAACTATAAATCTTTATAGATTTATTATTCATCAATCTAACGAATTTACATATTATTTTATAATAATATCTCAAATTCCTTACAAAAATTGGATGATTAATATTTTTATTTTATTTCATTTAGATTTTATATCCAGAAGTTGGTTTAGGAGATTATGTTATCAAATTTTTGAATTTACATAGATCTATACGAATCCATTTAAATTTGAAATTTTTAAATGATATCTCGTCTTTAATTTATGACGTTATCAATTATTTGATTCTTTAAATTTTGATTCTCTTCTATAATTTACTTTATTTTTTTAAATCCTAAAAATCTATAATTGCCTTCCATTTTGCTGATACATTCTGTACATAATAATCTCTATTTTTATGTCATTTCCTGATCCAAAATAACCAACTACGCTTCCATTTTATGCTCTGAACAACATATCATCTGATTTGTGCTTTGTTGCATTTTATTAATTAATTTAGTAAATGATTCAATAATATAAATTCTTTCATAAAATAGGACAATTGATTCTATATAAATATTCCATATAAAGATAATTAATTTTATAGATAATAGAATTTCTATAGATTTTTATTTATATTAATTTTTCATTATTTTTTACATTTAAATATAAATTTATATTCCTTTTTCTATTAAAATATAATAATTCTTTTTATAAGTCAAATCTTATAAATCTAAAAATTCTTAAGAAGAAACAAAACATGTTAATTTGAATATATAAGATTAGGGGAGGTTAAATTAAATTTCTTCATATTTTTTCAAGAAATATATCTAGACAGAATTATTTTAAGATTAATAAACTACAAAAGACATTATTATATCATAGTTGGAAAAGAGAGAGTTTCATTACTACCTTCTTGAAATTTATATCCATATTGACTAGATAATTTTTAATTTTCATATAGTGATGACTTTTTTAAATAAGACTGCATGATAAATTATCTTTATTAAAGAATTTTATTCCTCAATTTTTCATTCCTAGGAAGAATAAATAAGGTAATGTTAGTTGATGATTTAAATTAAGATGTTAATTTTATGTTTATTATAGAATAAATTAATAAATCAAATAATTTAAATAATTTTAAATAATATTTAAACAATCAACCTTGACTTTGTTCTTTTTTTTTCTTAATATATTCTTTTATGGATTAATATCTTTCTTTCATATCCTAGTAAAATTACTTGAACAAAAAGACTAATTGTACAAATATAGAGAACCCTATGAAAAATAGAATAATCCAGCCAATCATGTACTTTTCTTCAAAAGTTAATAATTAACTAACATCATGAATAGCTAATATAACAGTAAAGAAAATAATTATGAATATGCATAAGTCAGGAACTGCAACTTAGATTAAAATCTATTTATTTTCAAAAGGGTTTTCATAAAGAATTAAAGCTAAATTTGAAAAACAAGATAAACAACAAAAGGATGTCTAGAGTAATGGTAATTCATAAAAATAAACTGTAAAGAAGATAAACAATGCTTTACGAATTAAGTTTACAATACAATAATTTTTAGCTAAAAGGTTGTTAGTGTTTATTCCTTCATATAATGAGGAATAATGCTCTGAAAATTATTAATTTTCATAAAGTATTGGATGTTGAGAACAAACAAATTTATATAATTTAAAAACTAAAACTATGAATAGTATTCCTAAATAAGCTGATATAATGTTAATAACAATGATTACAAATTCTGAATTCTTTGAATATTTTAATTATAATATACTTGCTAAACAAATATCTAAAAAAACTAAACCAATAACTTAAATTAATTTAGCCCTAAAATTTGAATTAAACCAAATTGCCTCTTTATAAATTAATGTTAAAATATGAGGAAGTTTTATATTAGGTTCAATGATTTTTTTTATAATCTTTTCTTATGATCTGATATTTTGATCAGTTTGGAATTATTATTATTATATCTAATTAATTGAGAAAATTTCTATTTAATGAATTCTTTTAGTTTTGTTATAATATTTTTTATTAATCAAATTAACATAGGATCTTGATAAAAAATATATCAAAAACACAAGAAATATCAAAGCAAAAAATAATTGAATATTATTAAAAAATAAAGGATTGACATCTTTTTCTGTAAATTTAGGAGGAGCTTCAAAATAATATGCATCATCTGGTTAATTTAATGATACTACATCTGGTATACTTATTATATCACCCCATTCTAATTGATTAAAAAACATCTTGACATTTAATGGATAATCTACATTTAGGAAATAGAAATTATTTATCCATGTCAAAATATCTAAAATAGTCCAAAAAAAATTAAATCCCCCTAAAAGTATAGTTAAAGGTCCAATCAATTGAAGTAATAATGTAAATGTACTTGAAGCTGAAACTATACTTTTTGCTTAGGCTTATTATTATTAATTATAATAGACTTATTTTCTAGGAATTATCACAATTTCTCTAACATCTTCATCTAGAATTCTAATTCTATTAGAATCT